CTCTCATTTACGATGAAATGGGAGCTATGTCAGCATTAGCGAAAGGCATGCCTAGATCACAGTCACACACACTTGACTACGGGGGAAAAAAAAAAAAAAAAAAAAGCCAATCACAACTTGCCAAAAAAGAGAGCTTGTGTAGTGTGTCCTGTTTCTAAAATCGAGTAAATGCATGGGAGATTCTACCATAGAGCTTGTTTTCAATCCATGTGGAGGGGAGGGTTCGAGGGAGAGGGGCGTTATTACAGTCCACTAGTGGTGTGTCCTCTTCAGAGAGGGCGTCGTCGTACAGCAGGGCATCGGCTGGAGTGGACGCCGCCAGATCCAGGTAATCCTGACAAGAGCAGATGAGGGTGTGATTAGGCTGATTAAGGAGGAGGGGGATTGTAGCATGCAAAGGTCGGACGAGTGACCCGTGCACTGACTGCAAGCTCCAGCAGACATTTCTGCCAAATTGTTCTCTTTACCGCATCCAGAGTCTTGCTCATTATCTGGTATTGATAACAGTGAAGAACGAGCCCGCTGCGTTATAGGATGCCTGCATTCCCATCTGCTCAAACGCTCTATATTTAGCCTCACTTCTGCAGCAGGAGCCTGACTGGCATGCTCTGTGATTACACTGCCCAAGGCCACATTTAGGATTGCTCTTCAAACACTAATTATGGTATCTTAGGAGATTTGGGGAGAGTGACAGTTCATACAACATAACACAGCATGTGTCTGTGTGCGTGCTGGACAAAGCACATGCTGTCCTTAAAAAACGATACACTGCTTATTTTAGACTTGCTCCAAATCTGAAAGGAAAACCCCTCAAACTTGTATCTGTCAGATCTTCACTGAAGTGTTGTCAAAATCGCGCCAGTAACACACAGAAAGAGGCTGATTTATAGCTCCCCTGCTTCCTTGCCGGGGAGAGAAATGAATAAAGCACTACAAGGTATTTTAAAGCTTCAACATACCCGACTTTTCACCATCATCTTCTCCAGTTCTTTGCTGATGTCTGCAAATGTCTGCCTCTTGTCCGGTTCTTGCTTCCAGCATCGGAGCATGAGGTTATACCTGGAAAAGAGGAGCACGGTTCAAGTGGGTGAAATACAGTGAGTATCATTTAATCCTCCCAGCTGAGTCATTTCCCCCCGAATGTGGTGCAGGGGAGTTATAACACTCAATGGTAATGAGGAGGTGCTAAAGTAGATATGATAAAGTGACAGAATAGAGCTCACATTTCCTCCGTGCAGTTCTCTGGTCTCTCCATCCTGTAGCCAGTCTTGAGGAGGTTAAATAGGCGCTCGGGAGCGATACCTGGGTATGGATTTCCTCCCAGAGTGACAATCTCCCACAGCAGCACACCGAAGGACCAGCTGGAATAAAATACAGAAGGTCCTAAGAATATTTTTATGAACAGATAAGAGTGAGACTTGGGGTTTTTTTGCAAATGGAAAACACCCTTAATTGCGTTCTTGCCCAAAAAAAAAGCATGCTGATTAATTCATGGGCTTTATTGTCTTATTGTTGTCCAAAATGTCAGAATATTTCCTTTAAGACGTAATTATACTCACACGTCACTTTGTGTTGTGTAAATGTGGTCAAACAAAGACTCTATTGCCATCCACTTAACCGGTATACGGCCCTGAAAAATACAGAGAGATGCTGCTGAGTGACTATGTCAGTATACGTACCTGTATCATGACTACTCTTCTCTATTATTTTGTCTACCTTGCTTCTTTTAACATATGAGTCCTCTTCATACACGTCTCTGGACAGGCCAAAGTCAGAGATCTTCATCTTCCGCCCTTCAGCAACAAGGACATTTCGTGCTGCAAGGTCCCTGTGGACAAGCTGTTGGACCAGCACACTCATTTAAAGTGCCTCACATTTTTCTTTAACAGACATTTAAGCTTCTTACAATGAATCTTCCACTGAATTGTTCAAATATTTTACAAAGTAAAACACCAGCTTGGCCTTATACCTTCATTTCTGCCAGGTACTGCATGCCTCTGGAAATCTGCCAGGCAAAGGAGATCAGGTCACCCATGGTGAGAGCCCTGTCGTCTGGGTTCTCCAGGTAGCTTGAGTTTCGGTTGGCATCCCTGCCCATATAGCTCGGGCCAACTTTCCGACTCTCACGAAGGAAATTACGGAGTGACCCATACTTGGCATACTCGACGATGAGATACAATGGACCTATTCAGAGAAGCAGGGCTCTTAGACTCAATGTGCAACACGCATGTTCTGGGATGGGATGGCAGGAAGACGGAGGTCTTACCATCCTGGCTGCAAGCTCCGTACATCTTTATGACGTGCGGGTGGTTGACTTGCTTCAGCAGAGTGAATTCTGACAGCAGGTCACGCAGCTCGCTGTGCGAGGCGTTTTCTGTCACGGAGGAAAAGAGGGGGGGATCATAATGATGAAACCACTCACCTCTTCAGACATTCACTCCTCATATATCACAAGTGCTGCTAGGCTTGTCTGGCCTTTGCCTGGGTACTTTTACCTTTAAGCATTTTCACAGCCACAGTGGTGTATCCAGCTTTTCCTTTCAGCCTGAATGCTGTTGCCTTGACAACTTTCCCAAACTCTCCTTCTCCCAGCGTCTTGCCAAGCACAAGGTTTTTACGAGGAAACTCCCACTTTGGATCCTCCTGTTGAGACAAGGCAATGACGGTTTGTACTTCTCAAAAGATTCAACATATGAGACACAGGAGATGAAAGTGCTGGAAGAACCTTACAGGTATTTTAAAGGTTTCGGTCTCAATCGATTCCTGCGAGCCCCGGCGGACATTGTTGGCAGGGAAGCTAATGGGATAGGCTTGAGCTGGCCGACGGAAAGTCATCTCAGCAGATGCTATCGGGGGCTTTGGCGAGTTCTTGTGGTATCGGCGGATGAAGTATGAGGACAGGAGGATGGACACGATGAAGGAGAGGAGAAGAGCTGTGGCAATGACGGTCTTACACATTTCATCACATAGCGTCTCTGGAAGAGAGTATGTTGCACAGTTTTAAAGAAAGAAGCACTCAGTGCTTTGCTGATTCAGAGTTAAAACGGAGTGAGTTAATCAGCAGCAGTTCTGTGTGGTTTAGGGAAACTCACGCTCAATGTCATCCTTCTCACAGAAGCATCTTTCTGTGAAGCAGTAGCAGGTTCCATAGCAGGCCTTAATCCCGTTCCCACTCAAGCCTCGTTCATGGCCTCCAATAACGGGCTCCTCTGCAGAGACAAATCCAGCGTGAGCACAGTCTACATAAAGCAGAATGTCCTTATTCTCGCTGTTATACACTGCATGTGTGTTAAAAGGGAAAGCATACTTGTGCAGTCTTGCGGGCAGATTGAAGGATCTTTACTTTCCACTGCATCACAAACACTATCTGGGCATGTCTGCAGGTCAGGGGAGCATGTTGAATAATTTTCAGTTATTCCTGGAATATGAACACAAGAAAAGAAAGAGAAACCTCAGCAGGAAACAAGGGGGAAAACAGCCAAGACTGGTAACCAAACTGCAAGTACTTTGCATTCAAAAACCCATTCAAAAGTTGCCTTAACCTGACTGCATGTGTCCTTAACACTGCAACATGCAACGGTTTTAACAGCAGCCTGCACCACAGTGTTGGCTTGCTTTAGCAACAGTAGGGTGTTAGTCACACTTGTTTTTCAGCCAAATTAGGACCATGTTTTGCCACTTCCTGTAGCAAAATGATCTTACTGAAAAGGATACACATGCAGTATTCGGCCCTTTAGCCCTTTAATTTGTTTCATTACTTACACTGAAGAAAACATGTACTCATCTGGTTCTAGTGAACTTCCCCCAAGGTCTCATAATCATTCAGTAATGTTAAAAAGTTACAAGTTAAGGAGAAAAAAGTTTGTCTTTATGAAATATAAAGTACCTTTCTCAGTGCCCTGCCTCCACTGGCATCTGCCGGTTGTTGCCCCCAGGCCTTGGGTAGACTCACAATCTGTTCGCTGCCTGTTCTCTGCACAGGACAGGACCTGCTGGCTCTTCTGACCAGCTTTGATTGCTACGTACAGCAAAGCCAAAAGAGCACATTACCAAATCTTTAAAGGACACTAGAGATCGGGGTAACATGCTTGAAAATAGTCTGCATGTGTGCTTGCTGTGAAGTAGTACCTACCTGTGCCATCTATTTTGATGTGGATCTGAGTGCTCGCCTCCAGCTGTTCGTTTCCCTCCTGAGCAACAACAAGGTACTGCAAGTCCTGGCACTCGGGTTTGCGCAGTGCCTCAGAGTCATTCACATACAGATGTCCCCACTTCCAGTTTGGGGATTGGGTGATGCTTATGGCTGTGTAGCAGGCCTGTGAGTCAGCAGACATGTTCTTATCTGGCACCTCAAGTCGGTATATGACACTGAAGCCATCGAACTGCTGGCAGTTTTCCACACAGATTTTGCCAACCTGACAGGAGTTGGGACAAGAGATTGAAAATGTGAATGACACTGGAGAATACAAGTGTAAGGATGGAATAATGCACACACCAACTGAATACAACAATTTGAAATGCAAATTACTAGTTCATTCCTACATGATCTGAAGAAAAAAAAATCTGCCATTAATTCAAATAATTACAAACTGATTGTGGTACATTTTATAAAGCCAGAATAGCCAGAATAGTTTTGTTTTTGCTACAAAGTATGAAAATGAACAGAAAACATTTGAGATGTTATTTTTTTACTGCCAGCAGGTGGCAGTCTATCTGTAGATTTAATGAACAGCTCCATTGACCATAAATAAAATGTATTATTATTATTATTATTATTATTATTATTATTATTATTATTATTATTATTATTATTATTATCATCATCAGGATTTTAATGTAACTATAATGTCAAAGGATTGCACTGATGGCCACTTACATTGGATTAGTACTGAACAATAATCAATGGATAAAAGCTACTAAACCTCCCAGAAGTTTTACCTTCTGCTGACTGTAAACAGGTTTGGTTTAAGCAAGACACAGGTGAATATCTTTATTTTGTAAAACATACAGAGAGATCTGTAGTTGTGAGTTACTGTGTTCTAAAGCATGTGCAGTGTGATGGCTTATAAAGCCAGTGTACAGCAGGGTTAGTCAAATCAAATGCATTTCCCAATGCATCATAATGGAGCAAGTACCTACAATTCAATTTCTTGAAGTCTCTCTGTCAGAGTTCAGTATAAAGAAACTGATATGAGGCCACTGATGGTTCATATTGCCTATGACTTTTGTCCCTTGTCCCTTTCATAGGCCAACAATGATTCATTTGTTAATTATGTCATGAATACGATCATTAAAAAGAATCAGACTATATCTTTGTCACTGTCCGTGATGCTATCACGATGGAAAGATAATTTTTTTGTGTGTCCATTAATCCATCCATCTTCTTCTTCTACTCCAGTTCTTGGGTCGGGCTGGAGCCTATCCCAGCTCTCTTAAAAGCTTATAATAATATATATTTTAATCTAAATCTAGACCAAATACAAAGTTTAAGGTTTGCATGATAAGCAGTCATGCAGTCGTGAGTACCTGTGCATAAGGAGAAGCTCTGCGTGAGACTGTGAATATATGTGTGACGTTGGGGAAGTGGATTTGGACGGGTAAGATGGTGACATTGAAGTGCAGCAACACTGTTCCCTCTAGACCGGGATAGGTGGTGTCATTGACCAGGTAGTCGAGTTGCAGGGTGCGATTCTCTGTCACGTGCAGGTTCCTCTTCAGGACCAGCTCTGAAATCAAGAGAAATCGTGAAAAGCCTCATCTCCTAATGTAACTAATTGTCGCGCGCGCAGCCTTGGAGTACTTACGGTAGTTGTGCACAGTCTCTCGAATGCCTTTGGCTTTTTTTTCAGTGAAGGAGTTTTTTATGTCAAATGTTTCCTTTATCCATGGGTCAGTGTTGAGCCAAGTCCCCACATACTTATTGTGGTTGTCGCCTAAGATCGGGGTTAGATCTCTGTCAAAGACATACAAGGAGCCAAAAGTTCCACCCTGAAAAAAAGAAAGTCACATTGAGAAATTTCAGGCCTCATGTAAACATGAACTTAACCAACACCGCATCTGTACACAATCACCTTCGTCCGATTATAGCTGATGACTACGTCTGCCGAGTCTGTTCCGTTCACATATGGCGCGTTATCATCCTCATCATTGACAAAAACATTCAGCGTCGTTTCCACCTTGATGATGGTGGTTTCTGACTGGACGTTACAAACCAGCAGGAGTCTGTAGCATTCGCTCTCCTCGCGGTCCAGCTGAGCGTTTACCACCAGCTCTTTGTTGTCGTTTACAGCAAAAGGTCCCGGAGGGTCTGCAGAAAAAAGGAACAAAATTAAACAAAGCAATCGAACAAACGAGCCTGCATGTGGACGCAACCACATGAATCAGGTGGCATACTGAATATGACATAAAAGCAGCATCGTAAAACATCTCAATGGAACTAAACCAGGGTCAAAAGTTTCATTCATTTGAAAAAGTTTGTTGAAACTGAAACTCTAAGTGTTGATATTTAAAACATAAAAAATGACAACTAAAAAAATGAGCATTTTGGTTGAAAATGGCCCCCGCTCCTTCACGGGATGCTGCCGGCATCAGCCAAAATGTAAAAACACTACTTCTGATTATCCTATGATGGACTATATTGGCGGGTAATACACACATACATACATATACATGCATACATATGTAGTTGTACATATGGTTCTCCTTTCACAAGATAATATGTTTTTGGTCCGATGTGTCTAACCTGATTCCACACTGTAAGAGATGGTGTAGTTTGGGCAGACATTGAGTCTGGTGAGACGCTGTAGCTGCCGCAGGGCTCCTGGGAACCTGTTTTCCATGATGTGTGGGTTGGACGTATCTCTGTGTGGGAAGCAGAGTTCCTTCGTATCTGTCTGAGCACACTGAGGCAATGTGGCATTGACAAAGTCCAAGGTGATCTGCACAGGTTTCCGCATGAGGCAAAAGGGCTTGTTGGTGAACTCAGATCGCACCATGGCATTCAGGAATAACTTTCTCACAGACCACGACCTTTGATCTGATGGGACACAGAGCCAAAACAAAAACAAGAGGCATTTTAATCTCAGACAGTGCTTTTTTTGATGACACAGCTCTTCTTTGCTTTTATGCAATCACATTATCATCCTGAACTCGAAGCCAGAGCATTATTGGTATGCGAAGAGCATAAATGTCCAGAAACTAATTTACTCTTGTGTGTAGCGAATACCTGGCACTGAAATAGGACTGTGCATTACCATCAAAAGCCTTGTATCCAACTCACATAGCTGGGCAAAGTCGCTCTCCTCCAGGGTTTTGTTCAAGAATAGTGTCCCGGTGTTGATGTTCATGTAGAACCAGGAGCTGTAGTGTGGAGGCGTGGCAGTCTTTGTTGGGCACAGGTAGAAGTGTGGCTTCTCAGTTTTATCGTCCCGCATGGCGTGGACCTGGAGGATGGGTGTCCCGGCCTGCTGGCCAACATATACAGTCTCAATGTACTCCTTCTGAGGGAAGTACAGACACGTCGCTCCTGCACCAAGTGGACATGAAATAACCAGATGTTTAAAATTTGGCAGCCAAACGAATCACAGGAGAAAAGTGTTATTATTATTGCTTTTAAGGAAAATGTTACCATAACTGAAAAATAAGGCATGATTACATTGCAGGTGCTGATGACAGCGTATCAGACATCTCTTTCTGGATGTTTAACTGAGTCAACAATACCCACTGACAATGCCATCTGGGCACCGAATGGAAATCAACACATACATGGACTACGACAGGTCCAGGTTTTTTTTTATCTTCTAATATATCTTTCATCTCTCTCCCACGTTAGCGGAAATTGAAAGCAGGGCTCAAATGACACTTATGCAGCTCCTTTAATGAATTTCTCATGTGGTCAATAACATGTGGTTTCCGATTCTCCTTGTGTTCACCTTGAAAAGTTTAATTACAAGGAATAACATGATACGGAGGAGACATGTATCACTGCCTGCAAGTCTGTGTGTGTGCGTGTGTGTGTGTTGGGGGGGTTGACGAGTAATCCATAAAGCAAAATAGCAGGCTGTGTGTGTGTTTTACAGGAAAATGGAGATGCGAGTGTTCCTTCTGTAATTATATCCCTGTTGTGTTCCTCTTTGATGACGGTAGGCGACCATTTAGGGAACGCACTAATGTCATTAGCAGACAGCAAAACTAGATTTTCTATTTCTGTTGGTGCGGTTGAAGCCTCGGCTCTGGTTTCAGACATTGATTTAATTTTGAGGGGCTTAGATGACAGGAGGCCGAGCTGATGGATAAAATGTGGCCGTCCTTCCTCAAGGATGGAGATACGCTCAATGAGGCTGCAGACCTTTTTATTAAAAGTGTTCCGGAGGCAAAACAAACAGCAGGGCTCATGTTTGTTAATCTTGGTGGGGATGGTGGGAGTTGGTTTCATGACTAGGGATGATTTTTCCATCCCCTAAATCTATTACAGCCAAAATGCAGTCATTCACACTCATACTATTGACTGTATTTTATTGTATTTCCATTGCATCTTAGCTTATTTTTACTATTTCATACCATGAAAAGGTCTGAAATAGGTAATTGGCTTCATGATGCATAAAAGATTTCTGAGAAATTGTACAAAAGATTTGAGGGAAAAAATAGAAAAAAAGTAAAGAACTGTCCACAGATTATTTTAGGTTGTAATTATACTCAGTTTATACAGTTAAAAGGTATGAAACACATTAAAAGACGCGTAATCTGAGCATCAGGGCTTCAACTGTATACCCAAAACAACCATTAGAGGGGGCTGTTATCACAGTGGCACGGGCTCGAAAAGCAGCTTAATCATTATCATAATATATTACTGCTTTAATGTCTCTACTGCTTGGATAAGATGTTAAATGATTGGACTCATTTCTATTTGACAGGTCAGAAAAGACTCCCACTACTCTCTACAATCCCTCATCGGATGCATACAGACAATTTAATTAATCTACAGAAATCTCACAGACGACGGCCACAAATTGAATACAGCAGATGACAGCAGCTCTGCAAATAAAGCTACATGGTCCAACGTGTTAACCAGCGGGAGCTGAACACATTTATGAAGGCAGGCATTGGCTGCAAGCCACAGTGGCCGGACCCCCTGCAACACAACTCGTTTATATCATTCAAAATTCAATTTCTTTCTAGGACAGAAGCCAACAGAAAGCAAGCAGTTTATATCAAAACTAATTAATTGAATGCATCAAGCAGGCCCATCCGAGCAAATGGCATCTTTGGTCTGTGAAGCCATGATGATGCTTTTCCAAGGCATGACTCATTACCTTCTCTAAATGATGCACAAGAATGGCAGAAATACAGCTGGTGGTGACATTTTCACCTATTATATTCATGTCTAAATAAAGACCGAAAAGATTAAAAAGACGTTGCAGAGGCTTCATTTCCATGCTTTGTCTCTGGACCGCTAAAGAACGTTCTTTCCGGATTTTAGTGGGCTGTTTTGGAACAGCCTTGGCCTGTTATTGCTCACAGTGTGTAAACATTAGCATCATAAGCAGATGTTTTACAGCCTTCGATCACCTATAAAACTCATGCTGAGCTTCTGCATACAGTGTCATTCCTTTGAAAGTAATTTTGCAAACAGAGAGTGTTTAAACAGGACAATTCATGTAGCAATCCATGTTTACTGTAGATATCATGTACCGCCGAGTGGATAGTGAAACTGGATTTATCCAACGCTGAAAAACAGGAACACGAAACAGTGGAAAACCCTCTTACGTCTATATAAACGTGTGCGCTTCCTGGTTGTCGTTTACGATCGCAGTCTCCATGAGTTAATCGTGCCTGGGCGCGCGTGTGTTTGTTTTTGTCTCGTATTATAACTGCAAAAGAACAAAAAGGACAAAAGCTCATCACAAAATGTGAAACCACGCTCCCCGTCAGCCACAGACCACAGCATGTCTGGGACAGGTCTGAGCTGATAGGGTGGGACGCCCTCCATCGTCCCAGACAAAGACAGGAACTCAATTAGCTCAATGCGTGCTTCGCCTGATAGATTTACTAGCTATGAGCTCATGTGCCGGAGTAACCCACTGGCTTACTAATCTACCTCCAATCCTCAATGAAACAAAATGTGGATCTCCCACTCAGACGTCCTCGCTGAGCATCCTTGTCAGAAGCGTGGCAGATGAGGAAACGTGACCCTGCCCGGCTGCTGCTGTGTGATAACTTGACATTATAATTGCGTTCTTAGTCTGGACCTCCAACAGTAAGAGCTCAGCTTCGTGCCCCTTTTTCTCCCAAGGTCAATGAGGTCTGCGTCTGCCCCTGGTAACGACCCATTGGAAAGGCAGTGTATCTGGCAGCATATCAATCAATAACCACACTAATCAACAGTGATGCTGATTGTTTTCCACTGATGACACAGACAGAGAGAAAAGCTGCACAAGTGCAATCACGTCCGCCGAACATAATATTGGAGTTGCTTAGGCATCTTGTGCGTGGACGCTGAAACATTACTTCTACTGTGCACGTGTAATTTCACAGCCTGCTCCACAATTTAGCCCATCAATATCCACGTTTTCAAGGAACCCATCATCTTTTACAAAGAAGCTGTAGCCAGGCACATTAAGGAGCAGTTCACCCAGTTATATCACGGTGATGTAAATAATAATCACTCGGAAACGTATCGTGATTGCTCTGCTTCCAGAGATGTTGCTGCTGCTGGAATGGTTTTCTTCAGAGATTCAATTAGCTAAAAAGCTGCACATTCGACTATAATTCCACTTATGAAAGCTAATATTGATCATAATGTTTTGAAATCTTTCCCCCTCCTCTGTTTCCTGTCCTATTATGCTCAAATGCTTCATCGTATCACACTGGTTTCAGAACCTGGATTTATATAGGCATGACTCTGATGCTTTTCGATCTTTCAAAACAACACGTGTAATAAGGAAAGAAAGTCATTTCCTGTCATAATGACACAGACATCGAAGTTTTCATCCGATTAATAAGATAGCTGATCTGAGTTTGGAAAAGGCAGCCGGGCTCCAGGTAGATTACTCAGTTTACCATGATGCATACCGTAACATAATAATCAATTACCACATAATGTAATCCAATTATTCCCCAGAGAATACAAGAGCTGAGGTCCAATGAACCATGTTCATCAGTCATCAAGAAATCTAATAGGACCTCTCCTTGGGGGTTAGCTGCAAGTACAAACTCAGTTTAAGGATTCCTCTGGGGAGGACTGTGGCATCAAAAATTGAACACGTGGTACATCATGGAGCTCCAGACTGAGTTTGATGAAGCAGTCATTAGGTTGCTTTGATAAAATCATCTACCCTCACCACAGCAGTGGTAAAAAGCCATCAGATTTACTGACATGTACACAGAAGGAGGCAAATACTCTAAATGCCCGTGTCAAAACACAGAGAGCTTATTTATATTTGCATAAATAGCTCACAGCCACAGGTTTCATAAAGGGTTTAGCTTAAAGTACCAGATTTGGGAAAGAATTGCTTTACAGCCTGTTTTAACACTACACCAAGCAGTCTAGACTCATGCTACCAGCTCTTTGAGACTGTATTTATCATCTACATTTAGCATTACTCTGTACTCTGAATGCTAACATCAGTAACGCTGCATCATGGTGACAATGCCAGTGTTTGTATTGTAGCATCTTCTAATCAGTGCTAAATACGGTCTGAGATTGATGGAAATGTCATTAGTTGTGCAGTTACTGGACAAATTAAAATCTTGACCTAATTATTGTGCTCAATAAAGCAAACCAAAAAAATAATAATCATGGGATCATTAAGATCATCGGGATTCATTTTCTCAGAGCCATGAATGTCTGTACACATTTCCAAGGCGATCTATCAAGTAGCTGTTAGATTATTTTAGTCGGGTGCAAAATGAGCAGGCAAAAACAACAGAGCAACACTGCAGTGAGAGAAAAACTAACAAGGCTGAACACAGTCACGTGTATCACTTACACATACTGTGCATCAGAAGCATCAACAGTCTTGTTGTTTCAAAGAAGCAAACACAGCAAAAATGCATTAATATATAAGGTGTCCTAATGCACCAGCGTCATTAAATGGCACTACTAAGATGAGTCGCCACTATTCGCACTGCTAGACTATGACTGCTTGTTACGACTGTCCTAACATGAGAGAATCTGGTGGAAACAATGGGAAAAGTCGCTGCTTTATGCCGGGGAGTGGAGATCGCTGAACTACCAGCACAAAGGGAAGTGGAGCTTTCAGAGTTTCTGGCATTGGCAGGTGGTTGCAGAGGACGGAAAAAAGATTTCCAGCATGTTTATCCATTTTAGTAAAAAGAAGGACCAAAAAAATGGATGCCAAAGTGGGGCTGGAAGAGGATGGGGGAAAACAGCAACATAAGTTTGAATCAGCAGCATTTATGGAAAATGTTAATTTAAGGACATTTTCCACTATTATTATTTGCTCTCTTTAGAGAGATTGCAGTAAATGTGCAAATTTGATTCTGGCACCAGTATGGCAGTAGAGTCACTCCCATTTTTGCAGTGTCACACACACCATGTGGACTCAGATAAGCAGGGCCTGTGCTTTGTTTTACTTATTGTTGTAATGACGGGTCAAACACGATGTGCACTGCTGCACGACTGGAAAACAACTTGTCAAGACCCATGTGAAACCAGAGGACTAAATGCCCCGAGGGTAAAATCTCAATCAATGTCTCCTTGTCCTTTCACCACAGCAAATTAGATTCTACCCATGCATGAGAGCGAAGTGTGACCCTGAACTGACTAGAGGATCAGACACAGGGGTTTGACAGGTAGGAGCGGCATCCGTGCGACGGCAGAAATGGCAGCCTAGGATTAGAGGTCGGGACTCTCAGGAGTCTCAAGGCAGTAGCAGTGATTTGGATGAAAGTTATTTCAAAAACCGTGGGTCCACTTTGGCTGGGAAGCTCGAAGGATGAGAGTCTTGTGACTGATAAAGTGGGAAAATCGGGAGAAGACAAAGCAGCCTAAAGTGCTGTAGCTGTTCCAACAGGTATCAGAGTGTCTGTGGCTGACAGCATGTTTACTGTCGCTCATGAGCTTAAAAAAAAGAGGGAACACGCCAGCTAGCTCTGGTTTTGAATCAAAATAATATAGTCTGTTGTTTGCCACATTTTGAAAAAAAAAAAAACTTTTTGCTATAGCAAGTTTTAAGAATCACAATATGTTTTTTCTAAGATGCAAAAAAGAAAAGCACTCCTGTTGACGTAGCTCGGTAAAAAAGATCTGATCTACTTGCATAATGATGTTTCCCACTCACACTCAAATAAACACAGTGACAACAAGTGTGGAAAATTGACAATATTTATCATGCATCCTTGAGGAACACAAGACAGAAGCTTTACTTAATTATATCGTGCTGTAAGGGGCTAAATCCAATAGCACCATGTATCAAATGAGATCTGTTGGTCTGGTACTTCTCCAGAGGAAAAGATGCTGATGAAAATGATCGCTTTGAGTTAAAGGGAAGGAGGAGCACTATACCACTATGTTATGGTTTCACCGGTCAGAGGGCGAGGAAGGGTCAGAGATACCGTAACAAGGTCACGGTGGAAGCAAAACAGATCAATGCTTTTACGTGAAAACATCTGTGGCACTTTTTTGTGTAAGAGATGACACAAATGTGTGTGTTAAAAAGGGGGAGTGGATTTTGGCTTTGACCAGGTTCCGTCACAAAATGTATTTTCAACTCAAAACGCTTTGTTTATAAAGCTGCCAGCTGATGCTGAAGGCCAAATCTAATTAATAAATGGTTGTTTCAGTGAGCTCTCCAGATTTCCTCAAAATGTAAATAAAAACAAAGTAACGACGAGCCAGATATTCCTTTCTTTGGCCTTTTTTGTTCACACAGAAGTGCATGTGACTGCACGATCTCTGACGACGTAAGCACAGAGACAGAAGAGCAGCTGCAACCTTAGTGGCAGCTAATGGGAATCCTCATAAAGAACAATGAATAGAGGCGTCCCAGCTCCCAGTTCACTTCAGCTTATGTCTTGAACTACTTTACTTTGGTCTTAAGTGCAGGGCAATGTCTCAGGAACATTTAAAAATGCTGATTGCTACAAAAGTGAGCACTGATTGCCAATTTCCTTTGTTTGATGATCTCAGCGAGAAACACTAAACTAATCAGTAAACTGGAACCTGGAGCAGGAGTTATATAAACCCCACCGGGAAATTCCTTTGTAATAGCCATTCATGACTGTGCCATTTGTACAATTACACTGAAGATCAGAAAAACTAAAGTTAAACTAAATTGACAAATGCATATGTATATTTATGTGGAACTTCATGAGTGGACGAGATCACAGGAAGGAAAGACCTCCTATGGCATCCAGTGGCGCATTTAGTTAGTCTTAGTCTGGCAAGTGGAACAGTGTGCAGGGTGGGATATATTGTCCGTATTGAAGATACATTTTTGGCAATATCTTCCTCTCTGCAATGAGGGAGACTTCTGAGTTTGAACTCCAAAAAATATCTAAATCATGGCCTCACATACAGTAAAGGAAAAGGGCCTTGGCAGGACAGAGAGTTTCATTTTATCCTAGTTATTTGCCCTCCTCATTTCCACCATCCCTCATATAATATACAAGAATGATAGGAGTCCTCGATCTTTTCGAGGCCACTGCTAACTCCTTTCTCAATGCTAAGCTGGAGCTGGATAAGTTCACACCAGACCACAAAACCGTCTACCACCTTCTGGTAAAACTGCAGAGAGCTTACCAAAGTAGTACCACTGAAATTTAAAGCAAAAATATTCTTTAGATTCAATCAGTGACTAAAACAGCAATAAAAATCCACATTAGACGTAATGTGATGCAAAAAGTGCATCACAACATGACTCATTTACTTGGAAAATGACTCATATGTAAAAACCATTTAGTGATTTAAGATGTTTTAAAGGAGTCACAACAGGCAGAACATCCTCACAAAGTGGGGTAAAATAAAAACAATCATCGATCCGGTAAAATCAGACTATGTCACTTTGTGGCAAGCCCGGCAGCAGCCCAAGCGGCCCGTCCACTTGCATAACAGGCAATATTTTCCTGAAGAAAACAAACAGCCAGTGTTTGCCCAGAGATAGGAGCAGCTGCTGCACACCTGCCCATGGCTCGCCTCTTCTCCTCCCTGAACAAGTGTAGGTCTTTTGTTGCAACAAACAGGCAGGTGATGGACGCCACATTCACGTAGGGTGCAGCTTTCAGCACCCATTTAATTACCAACACGTCCTTGACACATGAAGTGCAACGAGACCAGCCCTTTTCTTCTATAAATATCAGGAGAAACGCCTGCTTTGGTGACTGTGCAAGCAGAGCCCAGCAGGAAAAGCCATGTGGATGCATGTAAGGTCTGTAAGAACAGCATGCGTGTCTGACTGTGTGTGGACTATGGACTGATTAAACAGCGCGTGTAACAGTGAAAAAATAATCAGAGGACACTGCATAAAAGTGTTCTACCTTAACAGTTGCATTAATCTTTTTAACTACTCTGCAGAAAACTGCTCCCCTGGGTGATTAAGTAGGCCTGTAGTTTATTGCAGGAAAAAACCAGCAGTGCTCCATACACATAGAAATGAACATCTTTTTATACATCCCAGATCCACTCAAAGACTTTGATCATAATGCTTGTTTGCCTCCCTTTATAAAAGCACTGATAACCTCTGAAGTCCAAAAAACACCCTGTATTTGTTCGAGCATTACATCTGACATACTGGCGGCACAGTCCTGAACTATGAGGGACACTTTAAATATAGACTTCATGAGAGGGCAGTGTTAGTGCAGTTGGGCTGTGGGATTGTGGACGGGATTATAATATTATGATATATGGCTGCATTCATTCTACTCTACGTTTCATTGTTGTCATGCCACGCATAGCCAGCGCACAATGCAAGGATCACTTTTCTGCTGTGTGGCACAGTGCTGGCGTTGTGTTCGTGCCCTTTCAGATACTTCGTCGGGGGAAAAAGGCCTTAAAAATCACTCAGCTTCCAAAATGCTGCAATTTAGCTTTTCACTTGAGCAGCCCTGTGTATTTGTCAGTTGCAATCTAGACTTCATGTTCAGTGGCTCGCTCTGTGGCAGCACCTATTTCTCTTCACCTTGGCCAGCTTTGCAGATACTAAATATAAATTTTAAATAAACATATTTTAATTCCTTCTGCGCTAAACGGTCTCTCTGGCAGAAAGGTCAGTAAGAGACGGAGATAAAAACTCAAAGACTAAAGCTAATGCTGTCTGAATAATTTATAATACTAAAGATGAACGCGTTTAAAATAAGAAGCGAACATTAAATCGTCTCCTCTGTATTAATAGTTAAGACCAGAGCATTTATTTTGTTTCAAAAACGTTCGGACACACTAGTGCAACATTTAGCATTAGTTTGCAACTTCATCGTGCGCTCCTTCACCCTTTTCCAGTGACAGGAGAACTGATGATGAACCTTACCTTCCAGCAGCAGCAGCAGAAACAGCGCGACGTTGTTTCCCCGAGAGAAACCACAACTTGACCCCATATTCGCGAACCATAGGTGAAAGTTTCTGAATGAAAAGACGATCCAAAAAAGTTCCTCTGGGCGAAAATTAAATAATAATAATGATAACAAGAGCAATAATCAAACCGATAAAATATACAAAGATGGGGGGTATAAACCAGTGCGCGCTCTGCGTCCAGATGAAGTCCTCAGTGTCCCATAGACGGGCTGCTGTGTTGAGGCTACAGAGGCTGCTGCTGGGCTGACTGGCTGGTCTGGTGGGGGGGAGGAGGTTCACTGCTTCACTACTCACTGCCCCGCTGCTTCCGCAGAAGCAGGGCGGCATAGCATCTACAGGAAATTTAAGAGCATAATTTAACAGCAGGTCAGTCATCTCATTAAGGATCTGCGCGGGGGAGGTGGTGGGGCGTAATTATTAACAATTATGACTGGGCGCGTAATGGTTCACTTTAAAGGCACAGGCGCTCTTTAAAGGTGGGCATCAGGTGTGCTCGTTTTAGTAACCGGTTCATTATAACAGCCGTGTGATAATTGTAATTGTGCCTTTTTGTTTAATTTTGCTAAGCTTGAAGTAGCTTCGATGAATTCGTTTGTTTAATTCGGTTGAATAAAAAATAGACTTTGAGCACAATGTTCCAGTTGGTGGCAAGAATTAAGTGAAACTCCTGCCAGTGAAGTGACAGGGCTAAGTTGTTGTTGTTGGGGTTTTTTTGCCTAGACATTTTATTGCATCCAAGTACTCCATGTGGATAATTAACACTCCCCAGCTGAGTAGAAGTCCTCTGCAGTCTTTGGATCAAAGTCCCAGAATGAAATCAGGGGGTTAAATGATGTGGGACCGTTCCTCTCTCAGGTCTGAGTGTGTGTGTGTGTGTGTCAGAAGCTGAGGGTGTGTTAAAGAGCGGGATCTCTGTGTGACTGAACAGTGAGGAGATAGCGTGGAGTGATGCATTGCTGCAGCCTCGGGCCAGGACACCAGTCACTCTCTCAGCAGTGTCTTTCCAATCAATGTCTCTGCATGGAGCAAAAACACAAAGGCTCACTGGGCTACAGAAGATAAAGGGGGCTTTCTCAGACGCTTCACTAACTTTCACCAACTGGGAGAAAATATAATAGCTGCTACTTACAGTGCTTACATTTTCACCTCTCCTCACTGAGCCGTCAGTATCTTAAAGAAGACTTTAAAAACAATATGCCCTTAAATTGGTGATCATAGAAAGGTTAAAGGAGAAAATTAGCTGTGAAGCTGTAAAGAAAGAGATGGCATTTTAACAAAGCTAGATAGGTTGTATGCTTCTGTACGTTTGATACGAAAAGAGTAACCTGTGAAATTGGTTTTATTGTTAATACTTTGTTTTGAAATCAAGCATATAGTTAGGGCTGGATCAGGTGACGCTGAATCCAACCATGCACTGAATGTTTCATTTTCACTTGCTATGTTTTTATACACCTCTGCACATAATCATGAGTTATTATTCATCTCTGGCTCTCTTACATGGCACGTCTTTGTCTTGTCTCCCTCCCCTCATCTCTAACTGGTCACAACAGACGCCTACACCACCATGAACCTGGTTCTGCTGGAGGTTTCTTCCTGTTAGAGGGAAGTTTTTCCGTCCTATTGTTCCCAAAGCATTGCTTAAAGGGGGTCATATGATTGTTGGGGGTTCTCTGTATTATTGAATAACATGATAAGCAGTTTATTCAAATGTAATGCTACTTGCTGTACCAAGGGGCATTATGTGATATAAGAAGCCAAGAAGTCTGCCTGAGGACAGTGTATTGTATCTGGGATAATGTTTCCATATGACAGACTATAGGTATCCTGAGACGTATGCTCAACGAGAATCAATAAAGAGAAGGAAATACGGTGGTGTGGACATGGCATCTGCAACCACAATGGTTTTCTATGTGCTTTAAGCAAGTTAAAAAAATGCTCTAGGCTAAAAAAAATTAATAAAAAAAGGCAGCATAGATTCTTGTTTTGACCCTTTTGATCTTTATTAGCAGCAGCTTTCGATACGTAATAGGTTTTAACCTCCTCGTGATGTTACTCCGAATGAGTCAGCTAAATGCTTCTATTAAAACACAAAGCTTTCTGATGGCATGCAAAACACAAAAGATATCTTTAGACCTGTGTGGTGAGTGTATATCGATTTCATTTTCATCTCTCGACCAATCAGCAGTTCATTTCCATTGCTGGCACCATAGTTTGGAAAGCAATTAAGGATTTGAGTCTTGTTCAGGAAGGCTAGATGCACCTTCTGGGATTCAAATAACTTGTGCTCATAAGACAATTACCAAAACCCCTACACCATATTACACAATGTTATTACTGCTTCTGGAGAGTGTGTAATAGGCTTTCACTCAGGAAGAGGAGCTTGATGCCGTTTCATTTCATTAACTAGATGGTCATTTCATGATGTACACCACCTGACCTGATGCTGAGGGACACTGACCTGAGCGCGTTCAATAATGGTACATATACATTATACATACAGATATAAATCACTCAACCTGCTTGTCAGTCATGAGGAAATATTCTGATCTATTACTGAGAATGAACCCTATTTCACTACGTAAGAGGCTTCGAGTGTGAAATGTGCAAACTAGAACACATGTAAAGGGCTCGGGGTCTCTGAGAGGGGCTCGTCTGATGAAATGGATTTGTGTAATTTCCCTGATTTTTCTAATGAAATAAGTGCAAAAGGTGACGGCCCCATTGATGACACCCCTCTGTGTGCATCTTGACCCCAATTATAGTACTGTGACTTGGACAGCAGATGGTACATACACAGAGACACACATGCACACAGGAGGAGTGGCCATGGCAACAGACTCATAATGGTTGTCCTGGTGTGTAGTGGAATCACTTGGCCTAATTTGTTAAGTACCACCTCAATATATTTAATTTAATCAGTCTATTCTGAGCATAAAACAAGTGTTATCAAATGAATCCTTAGCTGCCCACACTGACAGCTCGTCAGACATGTTCTTTAGAAACAGGACAGTGCTTTAATGGGTTTCACTGATCAGCATTTTCACATTTTGTACACTGCTCTGCATCTTGCTTTTGATAAAAAACATGTGTGGTAAGTTTGCATCTAAGAAAAGCAAACTAAACTAATTAAGCCTAGACCAGCAGGTCATTTTAAAAACTCTTTTAAACTCCCACAGATGCTCTAATAATCTATAATTTACAGAGAAGAGTGCTTTTAAAAAGAAAAACATAATAATTTTAGTAGCTCATATTATATTAGGTCAACATACATACACGTCATCCCTGAGCCAAAAGCCCAGGCTTCAGACTGCCCTTAATGTTTCTGAGCTTCTAATAGTTTTTCTCCATTATCAGGTCTGCATGATGTCAGAGAGACACACATAGCTCTGGCTGTGAGCACGGAAGCTCCGCCCACCAGCTGTCCACACCTACTATTTACAAAGAGCAGCCAATCAGAAGAAAGTTAAAGTAAGGATCCATTGAATGGTTGTACTAAATTCCAGTATAACATAAATAAGGATTATAATATACTCTAGCAAAGGAAAGTTTAAAAAAAAAGTTTAAAATTAGCTTTAGAGGCTGCCTTTAAATGAAAATATAAAATAATACAATGTACAGAAGTGGGATGGATTATCCTGCTTATATTTTGAGGAAAAATTTCTTCCTGTAGAGCAGGTAGGCGATGAGCAGCCACAGTGCAGTCCCCCACAGGCTTTGAAAGAGCCACTCCCAGTGGCTCTGCTGGAAGCGCATTTCCCAGCTGAAAGGGAAGTAGAAGCCCAGGAGAGAGTGGCCAACATACACAAAGATGGAGTTCATCCCTGTGGAAGAGGGGTGGAAAAAAGACAAGTTATTGAACAGGATTTATACAATTTAAAGGATTTTTCCTTGCTTTCCATAATAGCTGAATGACTAAAGTTATGTGCAAAAAGTAAAGGCTTTATTGCAGGGATGCTTTCCAAAAAGCTTTCCAAATGAGCTAATCAGTTTAAACTCTTCTCTGGGAGTCTGGCCAATAATGCAAAAAAATTACTGGAAGAAAAGAGTGAGGACCACAAGTCCAAAACCCAGACTATAATCCCTACAAAGGCTTTCAGGACATTTGTTATATTAGGCTGAAAAATGTTTGTCTTTGCATAATCAGCTAATGAGTTGCCAAACACAATTGTCATTGTAGTCAATATTTTAAACTACGTTCCAGCGTTTGTGAGGTTTTTATTCCAACCAAAGCACATACACCTTTGTAAAGCAGCCTGTCAGTACAAGAAGAAACATACCTGGGTATATGAATGGCTGTCCACCCCACCAGCCCTTGATGTCGACGACAAAGAACATGCCTCCCAGCAGCAGGAAAGACAAACAGCCCATACACATGATATAGGACAACGACCTGAAGAAACAGACCATCGACAACACTTTACTACAACAGCAACATTTTACTTGGCACATTTGGGCATCACTAAAATCTGAGCAGAATGGTGTGAAGAACAGTGTAAACACACTCAGTCCATCAATCCTCTGCTGCAGATAAATAACACCCAGAGTCTGTCCTACAAACAGTGAGGCAGTTTGCTGGACTTGTCTATAGCATCAGCATATGGACCCTTGGCATGTGCCTCATGGAGCTGTGCCAGCTAACCACGTCTCTGTCTGTTCCTAAGTGCAAGAATGCATGATGACATATTATGGCATTTAAAATGGCTCCTTTCTAGAGGCTCCCTGCATTTATTTTTTATTTCTTTATCTCAGCTGAAGCCAAAAACGACTCTTAGCTTGGAGTTAATTACTTTTAGACATCCCGGCAAGGACTTGTACCCAGGAGCTCAATAACCTGTGCATGATGAACTGCCTATAAAAGCCAGGTAGGTAATGGCAAGTGATGCCCCATGTGGAACATCATGAGGAATTTGCTTACACATCACAGATGAAATGGCGTTCTTCCTGCTACAACATTTGAATGATTCACATCACATATAAAGGGAAATGTGGGAGTGGAAACAAATGCACGAGTCATAAAGTAACCGATGTGTGAGGTGGTAACTGTGTCACATTTCATGCAAAATCATTACAAACGTTTACCAAAGTGCTGTGCCTTGTTTTTCTAAAAAGGCTTCTAATAGTTTGGGAGCAGTTAAGACTGCGTTGTGGTTATACAGTTACATTTCCCAGAGTCTGAGCTCTTTCCATCACACAGAGCTGGTAAAACAGTGAGTGAGTGCTTCTGGGGGAGGATGAAGCATTCTTTATTTCGCTGGCCGTAAGGAAGAGTGATCATGTTGGGAGGATGTATAACGGCAACACCTCACACTCCCAACAGCCCGGGTGATTATTTACAGCCGTAGCTGTCGTTAGAGGTAAGTAAACGCGTGTTTTAGCAGCCTTGATTTGTGTCTGTTGGAAATCCCATCCTTTCTTTTTTTGTGAGGAAAAGTGGCTGGATTTAGAGGGTCAGGAAGCACTTACCAAAGGTTTTTATTGACAGGTATAAATCCTCCGTCTCGCGTGCACTTAGAAAGGATGGCTGCGGAGATTCCCTGAGGGTGGAAATGAAACAGATTTCAAATCGATGGAGGGCGATAAAGCAATCTGTATTGGGCTGCTAAAACGTGAGGCAACAGTATCAAGCAGAGTCCACCAGATCAACCGACAATCAGAGAGTTACGTGGACATGGTCCATTAACTTATACACACACACAAAACACTAGACAGGACTGCAAACACACCAAAACAATGAGCTGAAAAACATTAAAACGTGGGTTTGTCACTACAGTAAAACACCACCGAGAGGCATCTACAAAGTCCAACACACTGAGGCCCAGCTGACTCCATGTTCATATTTACTCATGATCTGCTCAACTCTACATCAGTAAGCACTTTCATAGTCTTAACTATCCCCCACCCTCCCTGTATGATTTAGATACATGAAGAAAGATTTTGTGCTGCACAGAGAAACCCAGGACAGCGGATCAGGATCCAAACATGCTCGTTGGGTGGATATCCATCATGTGTATAGATGACAGAATCGATGGTGTGGAAATAGCCTAGCTGGGGCTGGATTGAGTCTCCAGGCTATCCAGGCAGCAGGATGTGGGATGGGGCTGGTATGTGGGGCAATCGCTCAATTTCAATCTCTCACTTCTGGAGCCTGATCGTTGGACTTTAATTAACAGGGGCTGCTGTTTATTATGAGGAAGACACATGGCTGCCTGTGAATATCAGCCTGCCACAGAGATCACAAAACAATAAACCATGGCCTGATGTTTACTGTATCCACACTTTCTGTTTTTCCTGTGCTTAACGCCGACCCAGTTGTCGGGTGCGTGCAGTAATAAGTTTTCTCCTCCTCTGAGGAAACCTGCTAATGTTAAGAGCACATGTCTGAAACAAAAGGCAGCTCGGCTCTGCTTCCTGCCTCCCCCTTTGAGCCGAAATCTTATTAGAAAAGTCAATATCAAGAGCAGGCCAATCGCTAAAACTAATTTTGCTTTCTGTGTTGGTAAGACATACAACCAAAAATAGATTTAACCACTGAGATTAAAAAAATCAAATCAAATATACACGTGCAGAAACGGTGAAACAAATATATGCTGCGCTGATTCTTTATTCCTGTGTCTGTTCCTAAAATCAATAGCGATGGTCTGCTCTCACTGCCAGCCGATGCAATGTGAGAAAATCTATTCTATTGCATTTTTCTATTTCAGCTAACCAGGATTTAAGCTACTCTGTCGAGCCACATCTAAATACTGTACGATCCAGAATATCGCACCTCCAACACTGTAATCTTGAGTAGCATCCGCAGCATCTATCAGCTGGTAAACAATGAGATACAGTGGAAAAAACATTAAAGCCTAATGTTTATTTATGACAGCACGAGCTACTTTGTCACTGTGCGCCGCTGGGAGAAGCTAAATGGATCTAATTTATGTCACCTCCCTCCAGCCACTCATCGCACAATGATAGTCAATAAGATTCAACACCTGGAGACATAATGGAGCTTTGTCCTTTAAGAAGTGAGGTTAATGACGTTAAATTCTCGCAACAGAATTTCAATTGATTCTCACATATACGAGCAGGACTCTGTCACTGAGTTTCTTCCTACTGTCCTTTTGGAAAATACTGTCTGGATGGAAAAACGCTGCTGTTACAGACCTTTAAAACTTCACTGAGATATTGTTTTGGACATATTAGACTACAAAAATAAACAGATTTTACTTGAAAAACCTTATGACATAGTAGTAAATAAAATAAACAATTTCTTTAACACCAGAACCTTCAACGCTGTTTCAACTCATGTGTCAAATAAATAAATAAACGTCTTGCAGTCATACACGTAACACTCTGAAGGAACCTGATACCCAAAGCTGGACAGAAAAGGCACCCAAATATACTGGAACTACAGAACTTCAGACAAGTCTTTCCCTGCTTCTGTGTGTTTTTTCTTTCGCTGCACAGATTTTCCGTCCTGCGCAGCTTGATTTCAAAGGCTGTGCGATGCAGCCAGCTCTTCCAGCTCTATCATCGCTCCAGGTCACAGAGCTGCCGGTTCAGGATGTCTGCCTCCACAGCACGCAGGCTCCTCCTAACCCCGTTTCACAAATGAGCTATATCTCTGGAGCATCACGCTGCACGTACAAAAAAACAGTGGCAAGCACAGTTCAGCGGAGACTAGCCTTCCTACGTGTCTGTCTGTCAGTCTTGCTAGAGCAGACTAGCAGCCTCCTGTCACAGGTTTAGAAATACAAAACAAGCCATCTCCTGTAACACTTGGCTTCTCCCTGGAGGACGCATTCCCCCTCTAAATGAAATGGAGGCCAGCCTGGCTCTTTTTGTGTTTTAAGACCACCCAGAATGAGCATAAATCTCAAACAAATATGACCTTAAAAGCTTTTCAGACAGGCATTACCTTTTTATCCTAGGTTTGAATGCACTTTAATAATTCCTTTCTTAAATCTGCCATGTTTGGTTTGCTTATTGAGACCTCGCTTGCAGCTTCCTAAACTGATCATACTCTTAGAGTAGATGCTTTTATGCTTGCAGCAGACTGTAAGTAATATGCATAACTCTTCCAATCCAAAACCACATGTAAAGCACAGAGAGGCAACGAGACGCAGCGTGTATTCCCCCGAGGGTCCGGATACCCATGTCTGCCCGGAAACACAGCCACACATGGATGTTGTTTAATTGTACTGAGATCACACACATGTCCTCTGCTAAGTCCTGCTAATGAATGACTTCAGCAAGCTACAGTATGACTAATACCCAAGAGGCTGGAAAACACGTTGCAGAATTTACCTGCAAGGTGAAGTGAAACACTGAGACCATAAAAGTGCTCGGCTCTGAGTGAATCACAGGAGCAGGACAGTTATTGGGTGTCTTGGTTTTAAATTAACAACTGATTTTATATTCATTTCCTCCAGCAGCTCTGCTTAAAACCTCCACGTACCAGGATGAGGGTCCACACTAGGAATCGGCACAGGATGTGGACATTCATCTTTTTGTAGAAAATTATAATTTTCCCCGCCTGTGAAAGAAAGAGGCAGAAATAAGTACAGACCCCACAGCCTATTCACTCATCTCTTTAATGAGAAATACCACATAAACACCAACACCCGGTGTGTCGGCGTACTTGCCCTTGGGTAACCAAATAGGCCTGGGATGTGGCTGTCGAAGCCACGTCCCTGACATGGCGGTCACGTTTCTCCTATCCCATGGAGCCAGATGTGGGGTGTTAGTCATCCGCACCCTCTGATTAATTTGGTGATGATGAATATGTTTCAGCTGAGAACATTAGCATGGACCAACACAGAGGAAGCCAGCGGACACCTGGCGTGTCGTCTAAGACTCGCTGACTGAAGGGCTCAGAGCAAACCGCCCACGGGGAATTGAGCAATGTGGTCACTTTTTCATGTTACCTTCCCACAACCCAAATGGTTTTAAGTGCCACTGTCACCATCTGAGACGCAGGTCTGAAGAACAAAAGGGCCTTCCTACTTTCTAACAGCATTTTGTCATTAAAGTAGGGCAGCTGTGCATTTACAGTGAGACAGGAAAACATCTGTCGCATAATCTTTACTGTAGTCACATTGTAGGTTTATATTAACATATTAACACTGAAGAGCATCACTGTCTGCACAATGAAGCCATTAAAACTTTCAGTCTAATCACGTCAAACTGAGTATTTTAAAGTCACATCTTCAGAAGGTTCTGATCATTTCCTGTCTCTAAGATATTTTCAGCCTGCTTTTTGTTTTTGGCAGGAAAGTTTTGTGTTCAGTTGAATTCAATTAAACTTTATTAAAATAGCGCCAAATCACAACAACGGTTGTCTAAAGTGCTTTATATTGTAAGGCAAAGACCATATAATAATACAGAGAAAACTCCAACCATCAGACAACCCCCTGTGAGCAAGCACTTGGTGACTGTGGGAAGGAAAAACTCCCGTTTGACAGGAAGAAATATCAGGCAGAACCACAATCAGGTAGATGGAGCCATAAACCACTAGTTGTGGGTTTATAAGACCTTTTTGAATAAGTGGGCTTATTATTATTATTGCAGTATTTTGTTGTGTACTTTTAATGTTTTATAAACCTGCAGAGACTCTAAAATGTACAGTTTCTATTCAGGATCAAGTCCAGTGGAGGCAAATAAAACTTTAAGGTTTTTTTGCAATGCATTTTGAAAACACAAAACATACATATATTTTTTAGGTTCGAAATCAATTCATGGCAACTATTTTCTCAGTTAACGGTACAGTGGTGCAGTGGTTAGCATTGTCATCTCACAGCGAAGAGATTCTGGGTTTGAAGCCTCAAGCCAGCCGGAGTCTTTCTGTGTGGACTGTACAGATTCTCCCAGCGACTGCATTGGTTCTCTCCAGGCAATCGAGCTTTCTCAAGCAGCCCAAAGACACACGTTAGGTTAACTAGAGATTCTAACTTGGTGTAAATATGAATGCCAGCATTTCACTGTCTCTACATATTAGCCCTGTGATACTGGGTTATGGGTTACAACCTGAACAGGATGCCAGTCTACCAGCTGGGCTGGACTCCAGCAACCACATGACCATGAGTGTTGTCCACATTAAAGAGGACTGGGACATTTAGCTTGTTAATTTTGCAGAAATGAGCTTCCTCCGAAGGGTGGCTGGCCTCTCCCTTAGAGATAGGGTGAGAAGTTCGGCCATCCGGGAGGGGCTCAGAGTAGAGCCGCTGCTGCTCCACATCGAAAGGAGCCAGCTGAGGTGGTTCGGGCATCTGACAAGGATGCCCCCTGGGCGCCTCCTGGGTGAGGTGTTCCAGGCATGTCCCACCGGGAGGAGGCCGCGGGGCAGACCCAGGACACGCTGGAGAGATTATATCTCTCGGCTGGCCTGGGAACGCCTTGGTGTTCCCCCGGATAAGCTGGAGGAGGTGGCTGGGGAGAGGGAGGTCTGGGCCTCTTTGCTTAGGCTGCTGCCCCCGCGACCCAGCCCCGGATAAAGCGGATGAGAATGGATGGATTTTGCAGAGTTTAAAAGCTGATTTAAACAATTTAACCAAAGCTATGTATGGCATAGGTAATTTTACCTAAATGAACAGTGAACAAATACAGATTTGGCATAAAAAAACATATGAGTGGATCTGTCCTGCACTGTATCAACAGTTCAGGCTAGTGGTGGTGCTGTTATCAGGTGTCGGAAATATTTTTGGCACACTCAGTACCCACTGAGCATTCTTCTTCACAGCCAACCTGAGTATTGTTGCCAATCAGTCCATCGCTTTGTGACCACAGTGTACATATCACCTGGTGGGTACACGCAGCATATTATAAAGCTCAAATCATCTCTTAGGTGGTCACTACAGTCTCTATTCAATACAGAACCTTTGGGATGTGGTGGATTGGACAATTGTCAAGATCTGCCTATGCAGGTCACTAAAAATGCAGACACTTGGACTAAACTTAGCAGAAGCAAGCCATTTATTAAGGCTGCGCAAAAAAATACAAAGGCAGGACTAAGACTTTTTTTTTTTTGCCACTCATGCCACTCACTGCATCGTACAGGAGAAACTTGGATCTTACCTGCATCCCTAGAAATCCAATGACAATGGAGTTGATGGTACTCAGAACCCCCTCTGGGTCAAAGGGCTGTGTGGTGCGATACATTTCCTGGAAAAAGCAAAACAAAACCATGCAGTTTATAATTTCACCTACATTGGTTTATAGCAGAAGCATTGTATTGCAATATGTGATGAACATTCCTACTTTGCACGTGGGGTATCTGTACATGTTATCACCAAACATCCACCTATCGATGTATCCCGCTGCACCTCCCGTGCAGTTTGGGTAAAGCCCGTTATCGCCAATTCCACCGGCTCCTAAATACCCTCTGTTATCAAACAAGAGCATAATTATTGTAGCTGTAGTTATTACTAAAAACAATGTTTAATGAAGTGTTTTGTGTTTATATGAAAACACAATACCCAGATGCAGCAGAGAACACTCGGTGTTCTAATACCAAAGGTGATTTTAATATTCTTAAACCCTGTATAGCAGTTGTGTCTCAAGCCACCACACATTCATGTTCAAGGAAGAAAAAACCCAAAACTCAATCAGATGAAAAGACACAGAAGGACTGAGAGGAAAAAGTGCTACAGCTTGAACCCACAGTACTGTAAACGTGATGTCATGCAGGGTCACAGAGAAGGAAAAAACAAAACAAAAGACAAAAAGCAGAAGACACAGAGCGAGGAAGATGGATCCTCTGCCTCCGCTCCTCTTATTGCACATGACAGACTGAGATTGGCTAATTAGGCTCTCTGAAGCATCCACCACGGGCCCATAAATCACAACGGTTCATAACACCTGCAACACAAGGTGCACACTCACACTGTTGCAGCACAAACAGGCCCAACTGGAGATTATCTCAGCTTCGACACATAGGAAATTTATGCTTTTAGCTTAAGTGTACGATGCATTAGTGAGGAGATTTGACCTGAAATGCTATATGACAGTGGGAGTCATGTCCGGACTTACGTGGGGCAGTTGGGGACAGGCATGAGGAAAGTTAAGCACAGCCACAAAGTCTCCAGCAGGATGATGATCAGCCACTGTGGCCAGTAAAGGAGAATATCCTGGACCGGGTTCCACCAGTTATACTGCATCATACATAAAGCACATAATATTTTTGTTTTTAGGTCCAAAACTGTTTCGCTTTTAGGTATTTTTTTAGCATTAAACTAAGTTTTGGGATAGATTGGTCCACTTGAATACACAACAAATTCATAGTAACTAAAGATTTTTTACTCTTCTTGGAGCTTTAGAGATGTCTGTCTGTTAATCTGGACGAATATCTGAGCTCCGCACGTAACGAATGGATGGAACTTGTTGAACTGTTCAACAAAGACTTCCACTGCACTGAACTCACAGGTCCATCGACTCTTGGACTTGTTATTCGTGTGCTTTTTCAGGTTAGACTCCTTTAATTTTTTCTCTTGTGTGTAATGGCTGAAATAACTGAACTTGACAGAACTGCTCACCGCAGTCAGTGGGATTTCTTTCTGGCCCCAGAAAGTCTGCAGGAGAGACAGAACAAAGTAGGTGAAGCCCAGACGCTGCAGCACTCCTGGGATCCTCAGCCAGGACCAGGACACTAGAGCACAGTGAAGAACACACAGCATGAACGCTCACTGTGGCACCTTAATACTGACACACAGTGATTTAAATAACATATGAACTTATAATTCACAAAAAGCACGCATATTAAGTCATTTCTGCAGACACAGGAAATCAAGAATTTTCCCAATTATCCCGACGCCACTATTACTACAACTACTTCTGATAGCAAGTTGATGGACGGCATAAAGGCTGGAGAGAGCTCATGTCAGCCTTCAGGATACGAACATGTCAAGAAAGAGGGTAGCTAATCAAACATTCATCAACAGTTATCTCTCGGTCTCACCAAATTGGGAAGGATAGGACTTGCTGCTGCTGGAGAGAGATTGATGGTAATCTACACATTAGCTAATTGAAAACCTCTTTGCCACGCAAAGTGCCGTAAAAACAATATGATCCCAATCATTGATCCGGACAAATCAAATAAGAGGCGGAAATCTTTTTGTTCGCAGGAAAAGGGGAAGCTCTTACTAATGACATTTTAGTTAAAGATATATGTTACACACCCCTGCAGAGATAATTGACTGTGTCTGTCGCCTGATAAAATTATCACGTCCTACAGGAATGTGCAAAAGTATTGAGCCATTGTTCATTCCTCTATACATATAAGGCAAAAATAGAGTTTGATGTGACAATTTTGACGAGATCGAAAGTCAATATATTTTTTCTACACAGCCTGAACTGTCTTAGGAAAGCTTTCTTCAGATAGTTTTCAGGAGTAGTTCTCCAGGTTTCTTGAAGGACAGTTAAAGCTTTTCTTTGGATGTTGGCTGCCTTTTGTTCTGTTCTCTGTAAAGATGATCCCACACCGCTTCAGTCACGTTGAGGTCTGGGCTCTATGGAGACCTATCCTTGACTAATTGTGTTTCACTGCGTTTTTCTATCCAGGTATCATTTTCCTGTGCTGAGTTGTGTTTGTCATCATTTCCATGCTGAAAAAATGAAGCTGTTGTTAACCAGATATTTTCCAGATGATACTGCATTGTGGATCAAAATCTGATGGTACTTTCCTGCATTCGTAATGTTATCAATTTTGCTAAGATACCCAACAGCACTGGCTGAAATGCAGGCCCAAACCATGACTGAGCCTCCACCGTGTTTAACAGAAGGCTGCTAACAGTCACTGTCGCAGCGCTCTCCTCACACAAATGGGAAGAAATTATGTGTTTCTGTGACAAGTTACAGAACAAAGTAACAAAGATGAAAGATTCGGTTCTTTAATTGTTTGTTAAAGAGCGTAACAAACAAGCATCCCTGGAAATGGTTAGGCACAAGGACTAGACTGAAAATGAGTGAAAAAGCAGTCAATTGTATTGATGACAATACACTATCAGCCTTTAGTGGCTCAGTGGTAACATTAACATGACAGTCTGGCACCCTGGAAGAAAATATAAAGAAATCTAGGATGGTTCAAATCTTTTGCACGGTATTAGAATAAATAATTAAGAATCAAATAGCAGAAAAGAGCAAAATGGGAAAATTTCATGTTTAATAAGAATTATCATTTTAAGTTGAATCCATTTACACAAGAGTTTGAAAGTAAGCTGCAGCAGACTGTAACACAGTTTTTCTCCCACATTTATGCATTTTCTTTGTGTTTGTGTGTAACGGACACCTTTTTTGACGTTCAATACTATTTAACTGAAGCTGTCTGCTTCCAATCTATGAGCACTTTCAGTGATAGATAGACAATATTATAATATGTTGGTAGTCAGCAAAACTGAAAAAGCCACTAAAAAAGTAGGGCAGCCAGAACTTTTCAAAACGACTGGCTTTTTGTGTTCGAACGTCCTCTTAAGGCAACTCGGTGGCAGGGGTTTGAATGAATCAACTCTCACGCCTCACGCATCTCATCCAAATCATATTTTGTATAGTAAGTTTGTATTTATTTCGAGACTACGTCTCGAAATAAATACATTTCAAGGTTTTTAATATGAATCTGCTTTGACCACCTTTTAGGACATCTAACCACGGTAGGGTTTTTGAAATTACTCCTATTTGATGTCAAAGGTTAATACCTCCTTTTCTCTCTTCTGACATTGAAAAGCATTTAACATATTGAGTTAATGTGACTCCATTCTCTTATTAGATCAAGCTCTGCGACTGAGCTGCAGAGGACGTCCTTGGAGACAGAGGGCAAAGCTGCAGTTTATGGTAAAAGTCAGTGTGCTGTTGTGACCAGCTCCAGCAGCAGAGTCTACAGCAGCTGCGTGGAGCTGACGGCTGTAACACTATCTGTTTGTAATTGTCCATTACCACAGCGGTTGTTTTTGCTCTATCTGCCTCTGTTAAACGTCCCCTGGTGCTGGATTTTGAGACTGCACACACAACAACAATATTTTTGTTAACCCAGTTAAGCAGACATCCACCCAGGAAAGTCCATTAGCACCACAGATAGCTAATGTGTGAAGGGCGCCCTTTGCATCCCAGGTGGATGGGGGATTTTCAGCATTATTCCTCTCCTTTAACCCTGACCCAGCCATGAAGTTTGGCTTTTATCTCAAATCAGGAGATCAACCCACTTAACATCTCTGTCGCAGACCAACAAACAAAGAAATTTACTTGACTGTAAAAAAAAAAAGTAGCTATCACATTTGAAAAGCTAAACTCATCATTTCAGTTTCACCTAAAAAAATGAATTCAGCAGCTACTGGTTGCAGTGACGAGTGAAATATCTAGTTACGACATCTGTGTCAAAAGTATTTGATGTTGCTTAATTTACAGGAAATGCACTTTTCCTTCAAGCTTGCACATGAGCGGGTGTATTACCACACAGAAATCCTTGTCCCCACCTGTGCTAATAAACTTGCTTTGCTGTATGCGAGCATATTACTACATGAGCTGGAGTCTGCGTAGTGTAACTGACCTGAAAAAGTACAGAACTATCTATCTATCTACACAGATAGATAGATACACAGATAGATCGATAGATACACACATATGAGGATTTAGTTTGACTGAGAATCAGAATACACAATGTGCACCTACGTGGTCCGTCTTTGGGAGAGTAGTTGAGAAAGCAGAAGCCGAGCAGCAAGAGGACGACTGTTCTCCAGGTGATTTTTCGTAGCAGCTGCAGGCGGCTAACTCCTCTCCTCTGCATGGAACTGAAAGCCAAAACCACTGAGGTCCCAATTACAAACACAAACCTGGAAGACATAACAGGATTATGCCATTCAAACCCACATATGAACTGTGCAAACAAGAAAAGTAGTAAAAGACGTTAAATAGGTCAGGCCCCTTGTGCCAAACCTACCATGGCATGACAAGATCCGCCACAGTTAGACCTGCAACAATTTCAGAAGCATAAAATCAATTAATACCAACAGACCAACACACACTTGATCTCATCAGAGAGTTTACAGTTCTTGCCCTTCCATACACACAAAGACAACAAGATGAATTAAAAACAATGCTCCGTCCTTAAAGCTCTGCTTCTGTCATTAACTTTCCATTTTGAAGAGGCGTGATTAATAAATATTTACACTCCTGTGACAGCAGCAGTCCTGCAGCCAGGCGAAGATTAATCAATCCAGCTCTGAAATCAATGCACCTCTGTACATGTGGCAAAAAAAGCTATTACAAAGTTAAAATTGTGAACACCCATAAACCATTACAGGAATTTTCAAAAAAAAAATTGAAACTGAAATAAAAAACAAAAAAAGAAAGTGTATAAGAATATTTACTTTTTCTTGTTTTAAATACTTTTTCAACCAAAATCTCTACTTCAACCAGAGATGCCTTGCTTAAGAGTACCTCAATACTGGCTATCATAACATTGGAGTGTTACTCATTCCTTCCTCCTCCCTCATCTTCCTCCAGCTGTCATTTAAATCCTCCTCCTCTCCTCCCTGATCATTAACAAGAATAAACATCTATGGATCATGGTGTTGATTTTGCTTGTATGAGAAATGACACCCTGTGTTTTTCTTAACTACATTCATCATAATTAGTGACAACATGTCAGAAAACTCTGCTAACACTATGGGGAGGATTTCGCCGCTGAAGATCAGGCGATTGCTGCATCATCGTTGTGTGCAGGGAGTAAGGTGCGGGCTGTAGGGTACAAGCAACTGATTTAGTTTTCCCTTATGTCAATTCACGTGCATCATGTACTTAACCGTTCCAAGGTGCGTGCTGAAAGAACCAGTAGCCTCCACCACCATAGTTCACAAACACCATCACAGTCAGGGAAAACCTATAAAGACAATACAAGTCGATATCCAGGAAAGAACAAATGAAGAAAATGTGTGAGTGAGGCTGAAAAACTGTCAATAAAAATATATTATTCAAGTGCAATCCTTGATTATAATTAAAAATTAACTTCTGAATTAAAGTTAAAGAGAACACAAGAGGGGCTTTTATTCAGTCTCCCTCCAAATGCAAGGTAATGCAATCTAAGCATTATGAATCACTCAGGAAATGAACGCTTGTCCTCTGGATCTCCTCAAGCAGGAGTGCTGACTAAAGACTTTGCATCTAATATATGATACACTTTATACTTTAGCACTGGCCGAGTCTGCTGAAACACAGCGCACGTGATGGAGTGCTTCACTGAATCATACACTGGAGGGAAAAAGGTGTTTGCGTTGCATGTCAGAAAATGGGCGGTGGGCCACTACACAACACAAACTTGCACGGTAATGCAATGATCTGGGCCAGGCTGAATCTTTTCACCATCTGTAATACGTGAATTTATGTTTTCGTGAGTAATCAAAAAGAGTAATAAAATCATAAGGGGGGGTCGTAACAACATTACGACAACCTTTAAGAAACAGCCTGCCTGATAAGGTGCACTGTATCTACCTCTGCCTCCTCTTGTTTTTCTGCCTAGATTCAATTAAGAGCTGCACTGAAGCCATTACTGCTCTTTTAGCCCCAACCTGCTGATACAAGATTTTAATCGCTCACTATCATCTCAAAAGGGCTATTAAAGCAGAGTAAACCCTGCTGCATGTGTCCATGTTCTCTTCCTCTCTCTCTCTCACACACACGCACACAGGCTATCGTGTAAATTTTGATGAACGCATCCATTAGTTGTCGTGGCAACAAAGACAAAGGTTAAATCGCCAGCCAGATGAGACCCTGTGAAAATTGCAGTAATATCCCAGATTATTGGCCATACTTATAATTAAAATTCCCCGCTGTCCGATTGGAAATGAGACCCCCATCACTTTACATATGCCACACATCTGTGACAATACAGGCTGCTAATTATGATGAGTGCTCAATTAACATAATGTACACTAAGTAACTCTTTGTTTTCTGTTGGATCAAAGTTAATAAGGTGCAGGTTGACACAGCAGGCATTTTCTTTTTTTTTTTGGTTCCTAATCAAGTTTAGGTTGTTAATATGCCTTTGAAGCTCTGCAGTGAACATTTGCCACTTTAGTAATAGACTTAATTCATTTCTGGGAATGAGCAGGAATGATTTATAGCTAACAGATTACAGAGAGACCTGTCTGTTGCAGCACTGACAGCCAGTTATGACTCACTGATAGACACTTATGGACGTCTTTGATTTGAATCATTGTACATGCATTACCAATTAGAGTATCAGCTTAGTACTTTCCCCCCGTTGCTAATGGATAGCTGCAGTCTATCCCTGCACAGTGTTGAGTTACCCACTGTACTGGCCATATCAAGTACACGGACACCCAATCTAGTCATAATAAATTACAACTACAGTTGAAAAGCCAAGGTTCTATTTTTTTGTGGCCAAACATCAGAGCGTATCTGAAACCCAATATGTAGGAAAACTTGGATGTCAGTCAAAATAAGGCACAGAATGAGTCAGCCACCTGCTGTTAAATGCGGCTCACAGTTCTTGGTTTTGCTGTAATAGTTGTTCCGTCAGTTGTATGCTGCTGCTAACTACTGACAGTGCGATTTTCAACGGTGACGAAACTGGTGAAAGGCTTTTAGCAATGTGGCACAAGATTAAAATCCAAATCCTTTTAGAAAAATTAACGTGCGACCATACACCACAGTTCTCTGTATATCATGTCAGGAGAGCCCGAGCAATGATCAGAAAAACCTTTCAGCTGGGAAGAAAAGCTGTTTGGCTTCAGAAATGTCTCAGCATTTATGGCAGATGACTGATGTGTCTGTTCTCTGTAGAAAGCTGTTACTTATCCGGGGGTATGGATCATAAGTCATGGGTCTGAGGAGGCGCACACAGCGTTAATCTTTAGAGCTGAGTCACAGTTTGATTAAGTGTGACGCCAGGTAGGAGCGTTTCCGGTATTACCATTCAGGACGTACGCACCTGTAACCCCGGAGTGACATTTCAGCTAACGAGATTGAGGAGGACTGAGGCAGGAAGTGGAAATGAAGGGAAATAAAACTGAAATGTATCCTCCCCCTGAACTCATACAGATTCTGAAAATGCACTCAAGCGCTTGAGCTCCCAAACTAAATAACAGCATGTTGTATTTTCAGCCCGCCACATATGCTCGGTGATTTTCAGCTGGCTCCTCGTCCAAAAGGAAGCCACAGATGGAGAAGATGCCAATTGTCTGCTGGATGCTGCCTGTGTGCTGCTGGATTTCCTCTCGCTCTTCAGTTTGGCAGGAGATCTATTGCTGGGTGGATGTGTGCTGATATGTTGACTGTATTATTACATCAATTATTTGGCGAGGGGGAGGTCAAAGCCACACCAGCATCCTGTTTCCAGAGAGGCGTGCTTTGTGTCTAGCCCTAGGCCACAATTAAGGCGAGCAGGGAGCCCAGATTCAATCACATGCATCACTCCTGTCCAACAGAAACACACTGTTCCAAACCCAACACACACTGCTATCAGAAACCATGCCCAAAGCTATACCGCCTGATAACAAAAGCTTGAAGGAGCATGTGGCCAGACTGTGACCCCTGTAATTATTCATTATGTCAGGCCTGTAGCTCTTTATGATGCCTCAAACTTCTCTAAAAAGAATTAACATGTGAACGAGCTCCATGTGGTGATAGAGCGATAAACACGAATGACTGTTGAAGGTGAACATACCCTCGGAAAGTATCCAGGGAGAGCAGACGTGTTGGTTTAGCTTTAACAGCACCGTGTGCAGTTTCACTAGCATGTGATTCTTCCTGGAGAAAAAACAGCAGGGAGACAAAATAATGTCAACACTCACTGGGATAAAACACCAGTGTGGGTTACTTACGGGGATTTGACAATTACCAGTGCTTTAAGCTCCATTCATTGTTGCACTTTTAGGGTTAAGGTCGCTTAAGCAGATATTTAAACCCCAAATCAAACTTACATATTTTTCATATCTAGATAGTTTTCTAATCAGCAAAAAAAAAAATCAATAAAGGAAGAAGAAGAAACACTTTTGACATCTAACAAATCATAAAGTTTGATAACACAAATGTTCCAAAAACATGAAGCACAACACTCTTAAGCAGCTTAATGCTCTACTTTATTAACTAGGTGCTAATGCTGTCTGTCTTTGCTTGCTGGCCAGTTAATGTAAAGTGGGCTCATTTCTTTAGATTTTACTTGGGAAATGGGAAAACGGGGGCAGTGTTTTGTTGACCTGTGATAAAATACATGGAAATACAATACATGAGGGATAAACTGCACTATTCCTAACAAGCTTTAAAGTCAGTATTTGGTACGGTCACCGTCATGCTGAAAATTCATTTTCTACATTGATACTTGCATCAGTTTTTACAAGATCCTCAACATCACCGACTGAAATGCAACCCCAAAACATGACACAACCTCCACCTTGTTTTACAGATGGTTATAGATAATCATCTCTGCTGAACTCCTCCAAATATATAAAAAATAAATAAAAACCATGGATTCATCTTTCCATAAGACTTGATGTCCTACCGCAGTATTTTCTCCTTGTTTCACTTTCTTAAGAATTTTCTTAAGAACATGACAGTTTATGTATGTAGCCTTTCAGGCCTGTGACTTCTTCTTTTTTCCAGTTTCTTTACATTTTTAGGGACATCCTGCAGACCGTGCCAAGATGTGCCATGTTTCCAGCTACAAGCTGTTTGGGAATTTACCTCGTCAGTGTAAAAATTCTATTTTATGTCATGTGTTTTTGTGACAGGTTGAAAAAACCTGGATAACTTTTGCTCAAGAGCACTTTTAAAACATTGCAAAAACGTCTGGCTCCTTGGAAGCAAAATATAAAGAACTAAGTGGAGACTTTTGCACACTGTACATAAAATGGCAACACATTTGGCTTTTTATTTGTAGGTAGCAACAGGTAGCAAACTTGTTTAAAAATACTGATAAAGTCAAAGGTTCACTGCTTCCTCATTCACAACTCCTCAAATTCTCTCCGCCCCGCGTCTTCCCCCCCCTCTCACTGTGTGAAAGGCAACATTTCGATGACTCTGGCCTGTTGCCCTCTCAGTTGGATTAGCCTGGCGTGCTGGCCTCCATGCAGCATTTTAAAGAGCCAGAGCAGGAAGACACCCGCGCTAATATGTCGTGATGGATTTGCGTGCCATCCAGACAACATATGGAAGCCAGAGACATTTTGCTTGAAAGAATGAGAGGAGCTATTCATGTTCACCGAAAATACATGGCAGCTCTTGCCATGAAGCCCGATGATTGGACGGATACAACACTGTATCGTTTTCTATGTAAGTCTGCTGTGTAACTGGCTCTGCTAACATTTATATCAATCACTCCATTAGTGTCTCCCAAACGGCTTGATGACTGGAGCCTCAGAGCAATTTTAGAATGCATCTCGGGCTGCATAGCCGGCCAATGATAATGGTGCAGTTTAACTGCTGGATCAAACAATATTTGATTACCAGAAAAAGGTTTCTACATGAAAGAGATTGTGTAGTTACTTTATATTTTGTATTTCAAGAACAGTAGCAAAGATTTACTGTATATTTAAAAAATAATTTGCTTTTTAATTTAAACTCATAATGGACATACTTTGAGCTGTTTATGACTTATTTAATCAAAATATAATCTCATCTGACATAAAAAAAAAAAAATCTAATGTAATATATTTATTAGAAGCAGCATTTAACTTACATTCTCTTCTGAATGCTGTGGGCCTTGGCAGCAAATAGTCTTTATAAATTTTGATGTACAACGCCTCCTGGAAAAAGAAAAACTTTAGGCTGCCCGGTTCTGATGGAAAAGCAATCAGTGCAGGATTCTTGCCGATGATGTAAAAAACACACATGTACCTGCAGATGTAGGGTATCACAACGAATAACAGAGCGATTACAGCCAGCAGGAGTGCTGCCACCAAAATAGCTGGGAAAATAAGTAAAAGGAAATCATTCTGTACCATTCTCTGTCCATGTCAGAAACTTCATACACTACATCTCTATCAGACCAGGATCTGAGTGGGGATAAAAGGGATGACTGCCAGTCCAAACTGTCTGCTATACTAGCCTGTGGACTCCCCTGTGGCTGTCTTTCAGTCAACCAATGTCAAAGGGGATCCCTCAAGTGACAAACAAGAACCTAATGAAAAAGTCTTGGTTGAGCCGCCGAGGAGTAATCACTGCGGGTAATCTAACCCTGCAGGCATGTGAAAATGAAAATGTAAGGCTGTGCTGGAACAAGGATGAGAAAACAATGACTTTGCCAGACTGCCGGAGGGCGGCACAGATAGGAGCAGGGTCAACTTGAGGTTTACAGTACAAGAGGGCACAAACACTGTAGCGAAGATGGATTTTATTTGCCCCCCCAAAAAAGGAATATTCTGTTCTGAGCTCTGAAAGCCACCGATTTGCAAACAAAGGGAGATATTTTACACCTGTAGTACTGATTATAAAACTACCTAGGCTTTATGAAATCTCCACATGGTCTTCTTTCGTCAAAGCACAGGAGAGCAGAGTACACGCAGTGGAAGAACAAACAAAAAGATGCCATTTTAAGCCGAGCTGAATCCACACAAGGACATCCACTCTGAACAAAGAGCGGTCACTTAATCTCCTCGGAAAAGTCATGGCATCTCTGGTGTCCATTCATAAAAACACCACAAAGCTCTCAGCGCATGAACCACATTAGAGCTCAGCCACAGACATGCTCGCTCCATCAGTAACCGTTGGTATAAATAGAAAATGAATGGTAGACACTGAAACAACTGAATTAATTTGAGTTCATTGATGTATAAAAGTCGAACAAAGACTTAATAGGAGTCGATCCTGTAGATTTCCTTGTAAGAATTAAGGGCTCAGCAGGTGACTTGTGGTCTGTGGTGTGATACAGAATACACTACTAACACGATTAAAGGGTGCATCTGATAGCAGCTTCACAGAAACATATGCTTAAAGAAATGATCTCATGCTGCTCTGTGGCCAATCAATCTCAGACACTGAAGTAAACTTTTAAAATTCCCTAGCAGAGCACCTCATACCTTTCTTGAGCTGCTGACCAGACCGTTACTTAAGGTGAACAATTCCTATGGGGAGTTTGTATAATCACCGGTCTGTGGAGCTAATGGAAGCTCATCATACTGTGAGAGGTGCAGTCACACTGACCATAACAGATAATGGCTACTTGGCCTTAAAAGTCTGATCTACAACATAATCTGCAATATTGTTAAGTAGTGTGTGCATTATGGAGAGAGGCGCTTTCAAAATCCCATTACGCCCTAATCCTTCCACACTCCCTAATGTATTACCCACAATGCTCTACGAGCCAGAAGCAGGCCTTCAAAACAAGCAGAAAAGCTTTTCTTTTATCCCTTTTCAAGAAAGCGAGTCTGATCTGATCAATACACATCATGTCCCAAGAGATGGATGAGAACTGCTGCTCAGTGGATGTGGACAAAAGCAGTGATTCTCCTCTTTGCTGACTCAATTAATGGGATCAAAGGCTTGGCTGGAGTTTGCAGACAGGTACCTTTGCTGTCACTGCGCCCTCACAGCCGAATCCTAGCAGTGTCGGTCAGGGATTCAAAACATGGAAATTTGTCCTCATGTATTTTTCAGTAGTGCTGCGTACTTACGCAGATAGGCATTATTTGGTCTTCTATCCACAATGCGAGTGCAGCTGCGATTATTTGCATCTAGGGTGTAAATCCAAATAGAGTAGTGACCACCTTCCTCATACGTTTGACTCCATCTGCATGCAAAAACAGTGAAATAGTCACAAAGTCTTAAAAGCTCCTATTTGATGCCCCGTTAAACTGTTTTCTTTAAAAGCACATTGCTGCTCTCCTGCTGCAGTAGCACAACTATAAAGCTCAGGAGCACCACCTAGTGTCTGAAGGCTTAAAGTGCATGCCCCTGTCTTCTCACCGTCTCCAGTTTCAGGCCCCAAAAAAACATCCCTGTGCAAGACTCGCTCATATTGATCCACTGTTGGGATGACATACTAGCTATCACTTGGAGTGTTTTTTTCAAACTGGGAAAAGTAAATCAATAGCAACACAGGCTGGTTAGAGACCTCAGCATTGATTTAAGAAGACCCAGCCCTTTGAAAGGACATAAAAAGCACAAAGGCTTTTCATGGTGCACCATCTCTTAGAGGTGGCCCCAAAATAGAAAGCTTTGCCCTCCTGTGTGGGATGTTCTGGGTGTTTATACATATTAGATCTGTCCTAACTGTTTAACATCCCAGCTGATTCTTCCCCAGGACATGTGGCTTTCAAGCTTTAATGAGCCCTTTTCATCAATATTGGAATGTCAGGTCTTATTAACCCCAAAACAGCCTGTGATCAATACACTGTGAGGTGGTTTAAGGGAGGGCATAACTCAGGTCCAGAAAATGGGTCAGGGTTACTCCTCCAACCCTGTAAATAATTTCACAGGCTGCTGATGCAATCATGTCACCACACCATATTATATCTTAAAACAAGAGCAATGCATTTTCACAGGCAAACAAGCAAACGAGAGACAACTTGCATATTATTTGTTTTAAGTACCATCTTGAAATGTTTAACTTGTTACCTGCAAAAGGTTGCATTCCTGGTTTGTGATTCCACTTGTACTGTCAGAGTAAATTTGGTGCTGATTATTGCAGATGCATTATTGTTGTTGGGTTTCACTGTGACCAAATGTTGGTACAAACACTGAAAAGCAAAACAAATAAATAATAATTAAATGGGCCTAGCATTAACTTAATAAACATGAATAATTATTTGTTAGTAAAAGACTAATTTGATTTAATGATTTAAAGGAATGTGCAAAAAGGGAAAAATAGTACAATTCAGACAAGCTGGAAAGTCAATATTTAATCTTCCTTTAATCTTCAACACAGTCTGAACTTGTAGCTTCCTTGTAATTTCTTTAAGTAGTCTGTTGGAAGAGTTCTTGAGGCTTCCTGAAGGAAATTCAAAGCTCTTCTTTGGATGTTGGCTGCCTTTTGGTCTTTTCTCTGTCAAGATGATCCCACACTGCTTCAATAACGTTGAGGTCCGAGCTCTGAGGAGGCCAATCCACGACTGCGTGTGGTTTTTCTATCCAGGTACGCTTTTACAGCGCTGACACTGTGTTGGGGATCATTGTCGTGCTGGAAAATGAAACCGTTGCCCATGCGATGCTTTCCACATGGTGCTGCATTGCGGATCAAAATTTGATGATTCTTTTTTGTGGTCATAATTCCATAAATTTTGACAAGACAACACTATCGACTGAAACGCAGGCTCAACTAGGATTTGGACAAAATTTGGATTCATCACTCAGTAAGACCTGTTTCTGTGTAATTTGGCATTCCTTTCCTCTGTTTCTTTTCTTTGATAATTTTTTCTAGACAGCCAGCCTTCCATTAAAACAATTTCTCATAAAACTCCTTCTTCTTCCTTTTCTGTCCCCCACTTGTCCAGTTTCCTTACACTTTTTAAGAACATGGAGCAATATGCCACGTTTCCAGCTAATAGCTCTGGGAATCACCTTGTTGATTTTTATGAGAGGATGCTATTAACAAAGTGCCTAAAGATTAAATTTAAAATTGATTCTTTGTCTGTCTTTGCCTGTGTAGACACAACACTGGTCCATCCCTTGAGTTAAGTGCCTTTTATATGCATGCATGATTCATAGGTCAGTGTTAAGTGGTTTAACAAACAAAACACATTCCTCTGGAATTGGTCAGGACTGAAAAAGAGTGAAAAAGCAGCCAATGTCCAAAGAAAACTTCAGAAGGCCTGGTGATATATTGCTCTAGAACACTTTAAAACATTGCAAGAAAAGTTTGGCTTCCTGGAAGCAAAATATAAAGAAATGACAGGTGGCTCAAAAACAGTTGCACAGTAAAATATAATTAAAGGTTGGATGGTAATATAATGTGCAGAGCAGTGAATTTACAAGCCAAGACGGCCTACGTATAAACAATAGGTCTCCTCATTGACAAACTAAGTTGGGAAACACCCAGTCGTAATTCCTTTCCAAGACTGTATGGAGTGAGTAATAGTGTTACGGTTTTACAGGGCAATCATAGAAAGCTTATTCAATATGAAATTACAGCATGGTTTAGTAATCTAACAATGCACTAAAAAAGCATGGCTGCAAATGAATTTTCAGAAATGAAAAAAATACAAGCCCATACAGAGCCTGCCTAAGCAGGTAGTTTACTTGTAACATCCTCTCGTCTCAGGATTCAAACATTTGACATGAGGAAGCATACTCAAGGTTCAAAGTTCAAAAGGTATCATATGTTCCAGCCTCCATTATGCTGCTGAACAGCAGTGTTAAATTATTCAAGGAACAGCACATACTTGGACTTTAAGCACTAAATATTTCTTACTTTATGCTTGTCTTGTGTTTTCATACAGGTTTATCTGGTTTTACGTATATTCATATGTCTCGTGATGTTTTTATGATGTTCCCTTTACGTTTCCTGATGTCTTTAATAATTCATGGTTGCTTTTTCCAGCAGTAACTGTAGCGCTGTACCCACAGCACATTCCTCTCAGAGACAATCAAGCTCATTTTATAACAAAGGAGAGAAAATCACACATTTCCCTTATGTGAAATTTGACAACAACTTCACAGTGAATTACAATGTTTAACTTTACTGCATCTGTATGTTTGCTAAGATCAGTTTGCGTGACTATAAACTTTTTGAGGAACTGAAAGCGATTTTCCTGCTGATGCTGTGTCTTAATAAAACCACAGTGACGGTGGATATTCTTTACCTTGTAGCAGTAATCTGATGTGTAGGAAGCATGCACTTCTTCAGTCAGCTGGTTATGAAATATGAGCAAAGCCTGATCCATTTTCAGATGAGAGCCTGCATAGATTTAACACAGGCCTGATTTATTAGCTGAGAGTTCTCTTGGACATTATAAAGACAAGATGACAGAACATGGCATCTAATCACTATCACCACTGTGAGCGTGACACTGACTAAATTCCCATACTGACATGTCCATTTGTTGTAATTCAATTCGAACCAGAATTAAGGAGACCGAACAGTGACTTTCACAAGAAGATCAAAAGAGTATAGACAGTACAGTTTTTGCTGCTACTACCAGGACATTTGTGCACAGATGCCTTCACCAGAGCGATCCCCACCCTCCTCACCATTTTCGATGTGTCCTCCGATGCCGCTGGTAAAGAGGATTAACAAAGTTAGACTTGCATGTAGCAGCGTCCTGGACTCCATGTTTCTAGCCGTAACCAGCCTTGTCTACTGCTCATCTTTATAACTCTCACAATATAACCTGTGGTCAAAGGGCAGTATGCATACGTAATTGTTGGTTCCCTTTTCATGTGCTGTTTTGTGCTTACATTTAAGATCACATGTAATCATTGTCATGATTTGACATGAGGGATGCTAAGTAAAATCAGACTAATAATCTGTGAGTTTACAACGGTCACAGGCTATGTATTAATGCCACAGTCAGCAGACACTCTCCGTTTCACCCCAGTCTAATGGTTTTGTTCTAAATCACAGCTAACTAAATGGCTTTAGCAGCGCTCTCATTTCCAGGTCCAGTCAGCTGTTAAATGCTGATCTCCTGTCACATCCTCTCCCTGTTTTCATTCCATTAACCACTTCATTTCTCTGAGCGCTCACAGTGACAGATGAGTTCACCGGGGCAATCTAACAAGAGCGGGTTGTTAACCTTTGACATGAACTCTGGTGAGCTGAAGAGCCAACCTCCTTTTTAAATCTGATGTCAACTGGAGAAAAGACATTAATATCAGCAGGTAATTATTCTTAGGATTAAGTTCATGTTTGATATGTGTGTATAAAAGGTACAGTGTCTTCTCTCTTCACACAGCAAACACTGCTGCACCGGCCTTTGTGCTGAATCGTGCTACAATAGCTGGCCTAATGCATGCCTTGTGCAACAGATGATAGTTTATGATTAAACCCATGCTGATAGGTGGTTGAATAGCTTAGCAGCAGTGAGGATTTTTGCTCAGGCTCCTGCAAGGGCAGCTAGGCGGGGACCATGAATGGATTTATTCCAGTTGCTCTCACTGGCTCCCACAGCAGATTTGCATCTGTGCAACAGGCTGCTGGAGCTGAACCTCCCCTGTGCATGAAAAGCCTCTGCAGACATGGTGAGTACACAACCTTTCTACACTGTCTGCCACATGGAGCTGTTGACATTTCCTCGCTGTCACAGGTAGCACTCTGCTCTACATTATAATATTTCATTGCAGACTGACATTTCAGGTTTTCAAGCTAGATAAATACAATAAAGTGTCATGCATGCTAACATGAGTTTGGAGGAGGAGAGATGTTCACAGCAAGCCACGGTGAGGTTTGTTTGAAGTTTGAGGTTTCAACCAGCGGTAATCGTTTCTGTAGTGCCCATTCATGCCACAGATCGAGCAGATTAGACCGTTGCTATGATACCTGTTGATGTCACTGCTCGGTCTGAGGCTCTGGTCCTGACATCTGTCTGCTCTGCTGGTACATAATTGTGACTGCTCAGCTAGGGACAGAGCGTTCATATGTAGATTGTGCAATAAAATGCTATCTATTTGGACGATGTTATGCAATGTTGACTCTGCAGGGCTGAATGAAATAAATTTCACTTTGAACCTGTGTTGTGACCCTGCATCATGTGTTAGAGGAAAAGACCAACCACCACCACCACCCCCTCTCCACCACCACATGCCTTTGAACCAGCTAGATTTTTAAACTAGGAATGTGGCCTCTCATTGTTTCCAGATGGTTTCCTCTACAACCAATCAGAGTTTGTGTTTGTGAAACTGCCCCTCTCAAATCTGCTGCACTGTTCCCTCTGCTCTGTCCTCACAGGCTGGTAAGGTCCAAGCTCTGACTGAAGAGGAGAGGGCCCACATACTCCCCCTGCTACGCAACGCTCAGTGGGTGGAGGTCGTTGGACGAGATGCTATTTACAAAGAGTTTATTTTCAAAGACTTCAATCAGGTTCTTGCATCATTGTCAAATATCACTTTTAAACTTAAATGACCAATATAACCGCTCTACCTTTTTTATTTTAATTTTTTTATTTCTCCCCCTCCAGGCTTTTGGCTTCATGTCCAGAGTGGCTTTACATGCAGAGAAGTTGGACCATCATCCTGAGTGGTTCAATGTCTATAATAAGGTACGCAAGCCTAATAATATATGAAAATAAGATTACAGCCTATGGGGTGGGGGTTGTTTTCCTGGCACTGTGGACAGCTGGCTTTTGTTACTATAGAAAAGCCCAACACTGGGATCATGAATTAGCTTCGAAATGACCTCTCTTAAATGTCATTTTCGCCTTAAAACAATAAAGAACATGTGTTTTGTTTTTTTTTTTGAATTTAAAAAGTATTATTTATTTTTTTTAACCCAGGGTTAGGGGAAGATGGGATAAGTAATTTTCACCCAAAGCTCTAAAACACCAGATACCTAGTCGACACCAAATGTCAGGTAAACGACTAGCTAGCTGTGAACCGTTTAAAGATGGCAGCTGCAGGTCTCTTCGTCGGGAATTTAACCCGAGCATGAAATTAATTTTAGCATGAAATTGTAATTTAACACAGGTGTTACTAAACGCGTGTCTTGTGTAGGCACGAGCCCTAATTAATGTGATTAATACCACGTGAGTTTCTCATTTCCAAGTCAAAATGGCTTTTGCTAAACTTGCAGTGTTGGACACTCAGGGTGTCGTCTGGTTTTGTCAAAACCTTAAAGGACACTTTCCCAGGGTCTTACCTTGTGCTCATGCTTCACCTGTAATGACTCCATAACAAATGTCGGCAAAGCTCTTTGTCGAGTGGTATTTTGAAGAAAACTCATTCAAATTTGCATTGATTCACCACTTTGTGCATTCTCCTTAACGCAGGTCCAGATAACTCTCAGCACGCATGACTGTGGAGGGCTGTCCCAACGTGACATCTCTTTGGCCACCTTGATTGACCAGGCATCTCTAATGTGAGCAGAATGTCACCGGTCAAGGCAGAGAAAACTAAAGTGCTCTTCACATGGGTTTTTATTTAAAGGGGGGTGGTAATTCTAAGCTTAAGGAAATTTTATAAATTCCAATGGTACATTCATCTTTCTGTCCCAACTATAGGCCCATTCCTGCCAGAGCGCAACGGAGCGATGCTCCGCCAAGTTCTCAACAAGCGAAGAAATAAAATACTGTAATTGAACTAATCTGGCTTAAATTTAAACGTCATTAAAGAATATCTAATGATCCAATAAACCAAACTGTATGGTCAAAGCTATAAAACTGATATTTTCAGCTTATTGCGTATCTGTTTGGAGTTCCCAGTCAAACTTTTTTGGGGGGCAGCATCGTATTTAAATAAATCGTACATACACGATTTACTAAGTGTATGTGTATACAATTAACTTCAAACTGCGCTGAAATTAATACCGGGAACACGTCTGACAGTAACTGTTACATTTGTTTTGCTCCAAATGATGAGGGTGCTAAAGCTTTGGCTGTCACACAACCATAAGGATGGTTAATACAGGCAGCAAGTTCATTTCTTGACAGTGATCTGATGGGTTCGCGATGTTTCAGGGTGTTGGTCAGGTTTCCAATCAGACTGGTCCATCATCACATGACGTGCAGAGAGGAAAACAGTAATGTGCGCATGCAGCACAGTAACTTCATTAACTGGGAGTATGGTCAGGTCCTGACCGTAAATGAGTTTGTGTTCGTCTACACCGTATTGTACCGCAGTCAAGTGAGCCCTCACATACGACGTCACAGTCAAGATAGCCGCACCTAAAATGTTGTTGCACTATTCTTACGCATATTACGGTACGGGTGCCGAATGGCTTAGAAACGCGAGTTTCACGATTTTACTGCTCAATCCACTTCGACTTTTGAAATATTAGCAGTTGATATATAACAAATTACTTTGATTCTCACACTGCACATTAAAAATAACAAAAAATGTTATATATTCTGTAAGAGTTGATAATATATACAAAGCATTGTCTTCTCACTATACTGCACATTTCTGTTCACATACCTTATGCCCAACTAAATAAAAATTGCTGTACTGTATTTTTGATATTGTGGGGGGTTTTGTGTTGTTGTTTGCTTTGGGGTTTTTTGTTACAAGAAAATTGTTTGAGGTGATGCTAATATTTCACTGGATTCTTCCTCTGAGTTACCTCCACTCTTCCTACTCCGCCTCACAGCCCAAAGAACTGTACAGTTTCAGAGAAATTACAGTACTGTACTTTGAATATTCTCGTCTTTCAGCTGATATTACAAGGAAACTGTAAGAGGTGATGCCAATATTTCACTGGATTCCTACTCTGGATCACCCTTCCTCTTCCTGCTTACAGCCCACTGAACTGCCCACAGAAAATTCTACATAGAGAGATAGACAGATGCTGTATTTATCCTGCCACATAATGAAGAGTTATTGTACACTTTTACAGAGAGAACAATAGGAATGATTTCCTGAAGTGTTCTTCATGGCTGAAAGTTTGAATCAGTTAGAGGGAGGAGCTGTGCTTCTTTACAAGGGCGGAATGGAATCAGAATCAGAATACTTTATTAATCCCTGGGGGAAATTATTTTTTGTTACAGTGCTCCATTTTAAACCAACATTAAGACAAGACAGACAATACACTAACTAAGAATAGTACAATATATACATATATATACATACATACTTCACTCATAAATAAATAGTTGGAAAAGAAACATGTGTAGTTGTAGCAGCAAACAGTGTGTTAAGTGGATGCGTTGTACAGGGAGATGGCCACAGGCAGGAATGATTTCCTGTGTCGTTCAGTGGTGCTTTTCGGTAATCTCAGTCTCTCACTGAACGTGCTCCTGTGACTGACCAGCATGTCATGGAGTGGGTGGGAGGTGTTATCCAACATAGTCTTTATCTTGGACAGCATCCGCCTCTCCGACACCACCTTGAGGGTGTCCAGCTCCATCCCCACAACATTGCTGGCCTTACGGATTAGTTTATTAAGTCTGTTGGCATCTGCGACCCTCAGCCTGCTCCCCCAGCATGCAACAGCATAGAGGACCGCACTGGCCACAACAGACTCATAGAAAATCCTCAGCATTTTCTGGCAGATGTTGAAGGACCTCAGTCGCCTCAAAAGATAGAGACGACTCTGGCCCTTCCTGTAAAGTGCTGTGGTGTTTTTAGCCCAGTCCAGTTTATTGTCAATGTGTACTCCAAGGTATTTATAGTGGTCCACGATGTCAACACTGACCCCCTGGATTGAAACAGGGGTCAAGTGTTTCCTGGTCTTCCTGAAGTCCACGATCAGTTCCTTGGTCTTTGCCACGTTGAGCTGCAGATGATTCTGCTCACACCACGTGACAAAGGAGTCGACCACAGCCCGGTACTCTGTCTCATCATCCCTGCTGATGCATCCAACCACCGCAGAGTCCTCAGAAAACTTCTGAAGATGGCAGGTCTCTGTGCAGTGGCTGAAGTCTGTGGTGTAGAGGGTGAAGAGGAAGGGGGAGAGGACAGTCCCCTGTGGTGCCCCTGTGTTGCTGATCACCTTGGTGTGATGGGGTTGTCCATAATCTTAGTGACCTCTGACCCTTGCTGACTCAAACTCCTCCAAATCCTCACCATTGCTGCTTCTAACCTTGCAGAATAATTTGTTCTTCCATTTGAGATTTCACTCACTTTATCAGTTGAAATTACAAGTTACAGCGCGCTGGGCATCAAATCACGTCCGTCAGCAGTTTGAATATTGTGAAAAAAGAATAGCATATATGTACATTATGGAGTGCACAGTGTTGAAGTTCCGGTAGGTGAGAGCGAGGTGTCTATGAAGTGTCACTGTTCAGCAGTCCGATGACCTGATGGAAGAAGCTGTCCTTTAGTCTGCTGGTTCGGGACCGGATACTGCAGTACCTCCTGCCTGATGGAAGTAGTTTGAACAGTGTGTGACTGGGGTGACAGGAGTGATTGATCCTCCCTGCTTTCCTCTGACAACGCCTCTTGTACAGTCGTGGCCAAAAGTTTTGAGAATGACACAAATATTAGTTTTCACAAAGTTTGCTGCTAAACTGCTTTTAGATCTTTGTCTCAGTCGTTTCTGTGATGTACTGAAATATAATTACAAGCACTTCATACGTTTCAAAGGCTTTTATCGATAATTACATGACATTTATGCAAAGAGTCAGTATTTGCAGTGTTGGCCCTTCTTTTTCAGGACCTCTGCAATTCGACTGGGCATGCTCTCAATCAACTTCTGGGCCAAATCCTGACTGATAGCAACCGATTCTGTTATAATCACTTCTTGGAGTTTGTCAGAATTAGTGGGTTTTTGTTTGTTCACCCGCCTCTTGAACAAGTTCTCAATGGGATCAAGATCTGGGGAGTTTCCAGGCCATGGACCCAAAATTTCAACTTTTTGTTCCCCGAGCCATTTAGTTATCACTTTTGCCTTATGGCACGGTGCTGCATCGTGCTGGAAAATGGATTGTTCTTCACCAAACTGTTGTTGGATTGTTGGAAAAAGTTGCTGTTGGAGGGTGTTTTGGTACCATTCTTTATTCATGGCTGTGTTTTTGGGCAAAATTGTGAGTGAGCCCACTCCCTTGGATGAGAAGCAACCCCACACATGAAAGGTCTCAGGATGCTGTTGGCATGACACAGGACTGATGGTAGCGCTCACCTTTTCTTCTCCGGACAAGCCTTTTTTCAGATGCCCCAAACAATCGGAAAGAAGCTTCATTGGAGAATATGACTTTGCCCCAGTCCTCAGCAGTCCATTCACCATACTTTCTACAGAAGATCAATCTGTCACCGTCAACAGCAGTGCCGTTGACGGTGATGGGGGTATGTGCTTCTCTACACATCTGGAAGTCTACTATCTAGCACACCTGGATGTGAACCAGCGGTCTGCTTCACAAAAAGGATGCCCCTCTTAGCAGCCAAAACAGTTTTATACCACAACAAAAACAAGTATTAGTATGACTATCTTCTGGATAGTGATGCGGCGGTCCTGCCATTTCCCCCTGTGGATCTTCTCCTCCACTCCGTCCACGTCTCAGCTCGTTTGCATCTGCTACTTTCCTGGAAAAAAGAAAGAGAAACACCTCCCTAGCCAAACCTGGATTATTAATATTATCTAGCAATTCTTAGCCTGTTATTTTGTACCTATAATGAACAAAAATATAAACGCAACACTTTTGCTCCCATTTTTCATGAGCTGAACTCAAAGACCTGAAACATTTTTTACACACACAAAGGACCCATAACTATCAAATATTGTTCACAAATCTGTTTAAATCTGTGTTAGTGAGCACTTCTCCTTTGCCGAGATTATCCATCCCTGCCCACAGGTGCGGCATGTCAAGGTGCTGATTAGACAGCATGAATATTGCACAGGTTTCCCTTAGACTGCCCACAATAAAAGGCCAATGTGGGAACTGGGTTGACGACTGGGCCGCACAATCTTCATATCTGGGCCTCATCTAGTGTCCAGAAATCCAGCTGTTACACACACATCTCAGGTTTTTACTTCTCTGGAGGAAACGCACCACCTGCCTCTCTTGAACAGCTGTCTCAACAAGATCACACACCTCCCATCAGTTTTAACTGGTTACAAATTCACTTATTCTGCAAGGAAAAAAGCGAGGAACAAAGAGAGCAGGAGGGAACCTAAGTTGAAACTGTGCACAGACGACTTTAAGATTTGTACATAAAGGCAATCTAACATTTGATCGCGTGATCAGTGACAAATTAATAAGTATGTAAACTGCCACTATGTTTACATGCTCCGCTTAACGTGGAAATGCGCGTGGTCGGTGCGCTCTGGTAGTTCATCACATAGCACCACATCTCTGGTCCCAACATGTGTGTTGTGTACTAAGTGTTTTTCATTAAAATGATTTTTCCCCCGTCACACTGTTTCCTGTTGTAACTTAAAAAGACGACTAAGAAATGATTTGAATCAGTTTTATTGAAAACATCACTGTAGAGCCATCTGCCACAGTCAGCTAAGTCCCATTCCCCGTTGTTGGAAAGGCTGCAATGTCAGCACAAGGTCAAACACATCATTGCTACATAATGTCACTGCCAGTGAAGATTTACTGTGCAGACCTTCAGAGAATCTGTTACAGGGTTATCTGTGCCAGCTATACTGCCTAAAACAACTTACGCAGAGTTCTTGAACATTCAATCATCAGTTTGTAGTATTTCTTCAATGCAATAGGATTAGTCCTTTTTAATTTTTTGTATCAGCATGGCTTTCCGCACCTTATTACTGACAACAGTATTTCAGGATGAAAGCATGGACACAGGATGGTATGAACTTTAACTGTTAGCTGGATTGTTTAATCAGTCTTTAAACCAGGCACTGGCTACAAGATGGGAAATTCTTGCACGTGTGAGACTAATTACATTCATGCCAAATCTCTTCAAAAAGCTCCCAGTAAATAAAAACAGTTGAAACACAAACGTTGACAAAAAGAGTCAAATGAAGCAAAAAGGAGCGGTCACACAAATGCTTAAAATTTACTAATCAAGGCTGATAAGTTGTCATTCACTACAATGTTTCTGCTAAACATGTAGAGCATTCCCATTTGTTACACTTCATCAAGGAGAAGTTACATATTGCACAAACATGGAACTAAATTCAAGGAATTTTCAGCAACGTTAGATGAAAGCTTGTGAGAAACAGAGAGCAAGGTCCTTTTGGTGTTACAGTATGCATTGTTAAGTTATCAATCTGTGAGTAACATATCCTGCTGAGTAGATATTTACTAGAATACATCATGTCCACAGTCACTCAGGGCAAACAGCTGATTTCTCCCAAGTTTAAAGAATCTCCATCTGTGGATCGGTCAGAGCGGAGATGTTCCCTTTCAGTGTATTTACGAACACTTTAGTGCAGTCGGTCAAATGCCCCAAATGCTGTAACGCTTTTGTTATGTGAGAAATGGAAAACTGACGCCCAGTTTGAATGGGTTTCACTGGATGAAATAATGACGTTTGCATTTAGTGGAAACTGAGGTAGATTGAATTAGGACACAAATTATTACAACGAGGTGACACACAGGTGACTTTGCAGAATACAGAGGAATAATTGAGTTTCTGCTACTTGATTATCCAAGTAACTGATAAGTAGCTGGAGAGCTTTGGATATCACTAGCCTCTTTCAAAATATTAATGCCCCTATTCTCTCTTATTAAAATTAAGAGTTTTAGTGGATATTAATAACATTAAAAACTCCCATTCCCACCGTCTATGATACCAACCACAGTAGATGAACCACAAATGAAGGTAAATGAGTGCTAACAAAACAAGGACATACATGTTCAGGCTTGCAGATAAATTCTGGTTTCAAGTGATGTACATATTAACCTGATATGTAGTTTTTAGGGCATTGCAATGCTTTTACATTAAACCACCCTTTTGATGATAATACACAGGCATGTACAGCCAGTTCAGAGCAGTGCATCAGTTTATAAGCTACAGGCAGCACAGCGATTCTAGCACATTTTGAGCTTTCGAGTAGTTTGTTTTTGCAAAGTCGTCGTGGACAGTGAAGTGAAGCGGTGACGGCATTGAAATGTTCTGGTATTTAAAAAAAAAAAACTGAAAGGTTTTACTATGCAATCAGTAGATATCATGACAGACGTGTATTAAATGAAAGCTAAAATCGAAATGAAATGTAAAACAGAAAAAACAAACACATTTCCTCTACATAATTTAAAATCAAATCAGAGGTTAAAAGTCGTTTGGACCCAGTCATGTCTTCTCTGTACCATTTAGGTGCAGTGTTACAAGGAATTTCCCTCTAGGCTGATTAGAATGACAATGGCTTGTGCTTCAAAGATTGCTGCAGATATTTGTGTGTGTGTGTGTGTGTGTGTGTGTGTGTGTGTGTGTGTGTGTATATATATATACACACATATATATATATAGTGTGCAGGTATGCAAGATAAGGCAACCGTTGAACGATTTAAAAATCAGAGCTCTGGGAGGAGGCGAGAGCGTTTCCCTGCATGCAGTGTTGTCGGGCCAGGAGGGACCAATCCCTTTTCAGTGGGCTTTGCCATTGCCATTCATGTGGCTGATGTTTGACTTGGTCACCTCAGTGCTGTAGAGACAGTCCAAGAAACCTCGGGAGATCTCCGTGACCAGGGATCTATCTGGGATGGCCTGGGCCATGCCGTAGATCGCTCCCTGCAAGAGCAGGAACATAAGTGAGCTTACAAACATCCAGACACATCATCCGTCTCCTAAAACAGGTTTTCTCTTAGCTATATAGTTTCAGACGCAGAAGGCAGCTGCATTAATAAAAAAATTCCAGTTAAATGGCAGCACAGATGTTACTGTTTTTGTTGCATTTGGATTCATATAACCTCTTGTACCTCTCCAATGTGATGAGTGAACTGACTGAAGAACAAATGAAACTTGAGAAACTAACTTCTAGTTATATGGAATTCACCTTAATCTGCAGCGAGATCTGTTCTCAGTGTTAACTACGCTGCTGACAAACCTGTCGGGCACAGTGCTGCTTGTCCCACGTGAGTGGAGTTTAAAAGCTGGCACACAAAATAGCTGCTTGTGTCGACTCAAATCGAAGGTTTTATACAGCAACAATGCAAAATGCCACTTCCCTTCCCAAAATACCCACAGAATGTTAAACAGAAAAGAAAGCTAAATACACTGCACTCAGCATGATTCCTCTCCAGTGGCTACACTAGCGAGCACTACAAAGGTGAAGTCAGCTTGATTTGAATGATAAAGGTATAGTTTGGATCTACAGTAATATGTAATCTCCCTTGGTTTCCTCCTACAGTCCAAAGTCAGGTGAAGTAGCTGAATAAGGTATGAATTTATCTATATGCAGTAGGCTCAGACTGTGACCCTGTCATTACAATAGGATTACAACATCCTGTCATGGATCATCAAAGCAAAACTGTGATGTAATGATAAAGAAAGATTGGTGTCTTTGTGTTATTTAAACTTCTTAAAAAACCCACATGTTAATGATGACTATGTAGATAAGTAAACCAAACTCACCATTCCTGTAGTTTTCTCTTTGGGGTTCTTCATGATGATGGCGACCTGCTCTTTGACATCACGAATAAAGTGATCAGCGACCCCTGGCTGAGTGTGCAAAACTGTGCAGCAAATGTGGATGCTGTGAAAGCAACGATTGTGAGGTGTAAATATTTATCATGCCATCACATTTACTGAGACGTTATCGTTTGTTTTACATCTACCTGGACGGGTACTGCAATGTGTTCAGATTCCAGCCCTTTGACGTCAGTGCGTTAGACAGACGGAAAATATCAAAATCATCCGAGCCGATGGCCACCACCGACACCTCCGGATCCCCAAACACAAACACCCCTTTAATCTTGCGGATTCTGACAAACAGAGAAGAAGACAGAAGAATTGTACAGAAGATAATAAATTACAGACTATGTAATTTATTATGTTCAGTGTAACAAGTCTGTGTCTTACTCTGTTTTGATCTTGTGAGCTGTGCTGACGATCTTCTTGGTGGCGTCTACGTAGCCGTTCTCTCCCATATACATCATGGTCGCCCAGCAGGCGGCGATGATTCCTCCTGGCCTGGAGCCCGCTATAGAGGGTGAGGCATAGATCCCCCCTTGCCAGTCAGCAGCTACAAAGTATTGGTACTGACGGTACTTTTTATCGCTGTAGAGGATCACTGAGGAACCTTTGGGGGCGTAGCCATACTGGAGAGAAACGTAACACATGCACACAAGGTGCAGAATTAAAACAAGCATATCCCTGTACATGCCACACATAGAACAATCTATGTGCGGTATGTATATATACACACACACACACATGTATATTGTTCTAGAAAGATTTGATCTGAAGGCTGTTCAGCCACTGCTTACCTTGTGTGTGTCTGCAGAGATGCTGGTAACACCTTTTACCCTGAAGTCAAATGGGGCGAGTGGGTAACCAGCCTTGGCCATGAACACAATAAGAAAACCACCCAGACAGGCATCCACATGCATCGGGATGTTGTAGCGTACAGCCAGCTGCAACACATCGAGGGAAAGTGTGAGGGATTTGACTTCCCAGTTTTTGTCAACAGTACATAAAAAAAAATAGTGCACTTCTAACCTTGGCTACTTCCTCAATGGGATCTATGATTCCATGAGGAAACTGGGGAGCTGAGCAGACAAGCATGGCTGTGTTCTTGCTGATGGCTCTCCTCATGGCCTCGAAAGAGAACAAACAACACTGGAATAAATAATGCCTGGAAACAGAAGTCAGCACATGCTGTCTACACGTGTTCTCTCTCACCTTCACATCCACTTTCATAGTTTTCTTGTCGAGAGGAATGTGAACCAGCTTCATCCCAAAATAATGTGCCGCTTTGTCAAAAGCTGCGTGGACGCTCACAGGTGCAAGGCTGCGGAAACGAAAGCAGGACACGAAAATGATTTCATGACTTTCTCTGGCAGGAACAAGCCTTGACACGGACCCTGTGTCCTGTAAAGCTCGGCTTACATTTCAGGGTGTTTGACGCCTCGCTCGTATGCGATGTCTCTGTATGCTTTGCAGGCCATCAGTATGCTCTCGGTTCCTCCTGAAGTGACCTGCACAAAGGAGCGGTAAGGATAAGACAAATTCAGTCCACCTTTTCTAAATGTAGGGATAAAGGTTTGTGCATCGGTCTGATAACAGAGTTGCAAAAAAGAAATCTTTGGGATCACCAGAATTTCTTCACTGATCATAAAAGTGGTCAGATATTCAGCAAAGTCTCATTATAACTTTTCATGACTTTGAGTTACAACACAAACTGCAATTTTATTTCTTTGTATTTCTATTAAGGAGACTAGACTAGAAGTGGGTTTTAAATTGTCCCTGTCTATTATTATTATTGTATAACTGTGACGGAAATCCTGCCGATAAAGAAAATCCTTTTCTTGCAAGTGTCTACTGTATGGTGACTTACTGTGCCACAGGAGTTAGGCCCACCATGGAAGAGTGTGCAAGCCATTCTGACAACCTCTGCTTCCATCTTCCGTACGCCAGGAAAAATGTCTGGGTGGAGTGGATTGCTCCATGCAAAATCCCCATATACCTAAAAATAACCCCAAACAAACAAACAAATGAATGACAAAAGTAGTCAAGTGTTGCATAAACTGCAAACCTCAAACCAGGGTGAAACCAATGTCATCGAAAGGACCGACCAGGAAATGAAATCAAAAAACAACTTTGTTACTGTAAAAACTCCAAAATGTATTCAAGCTTGACCCTGGCCATTAATGCTTGGAATGCCAAAATCTGCAAATGTATACAGAGATGCATACCTTCACTAGGAGGTTGGTCAGTGACTCATCGCCCCAGTACACTGCCCCAGAAACCAATCCCTTATCCCACTTCACCTCATCTGCAACAAAAGATTGAGTCTTGAGAAACCACTGGCTTTCTCAAAGATATTATCCTTTTGAAAGATAAGTAGACAAGTTTTCTTATCAGCAATGAAGATTAGAAATACTGATAAAGAAGCAGGAATCTCAGGGCTGAATGAGGACTTACTCAGGGTGTCGTACTCCTTGATTTTCTCCATTACTTTGGCCTGAGAGAGACCTTTGGAGGGAAGCTCTGTGGTGTAGCTCATCCCCTCCTTGAGGGTAAATAGACTAGCAGACATGTCATCCAAAGCCTTGTTCAGCTGGCTCTGGATCTGATACAAAGAGAGGACAGAGTTACTTTACAGGCACAAACAGCAGTAGAGTAACGTAACCCATAACCTAAAATGGATATAGGAGAAGTAACAGTATTGCTGACTGAACAGAAGTAACCACATGTTATCACCAGAGCATCATCTTAATCGTGCCAAAGGTCTGTCATTCCCACCCATCCCCCTCCATGACTTTGATATGCAGTCATCCAAGAATGACTCATAATAACCCCAGACACTCGTCAGCACACACCAGAAGGGGGGAAAATAAAAAAGGGAAGAGATTTACCACTGATACTTACTGCCCCGCCAACGAAGGGTATTTTTCTGATGAGTCTAAAGCACTGCTTCTTGATTCGTGATGTCAGACCTATTAACCAGAAAACACAAGGCAGCAGCTGTGGTGAAATGTTAGCATGCATGCATCCACAAATATTAAGCAGCTGACTGTGATCCATAATCACACGTTAAGGGAAGGCGTAGTCACGAGCCCCTTTCACTCTGCTCACAAACACACTAAAGAGCTAGATTTTTACCAAGAAGCCACACTCTGACCTTTCCCTCTCAGAGAGCTACAGATGGCTGGCTCTGACCTACTCGCTGAGGAATTTAAGCACCGATTCATTGGAAGATCTAGAAAGTCGAGACAAATGATGGCTTTGCTCGGTTGTGCCGCAATTCCAGATAGTGTGCACTACATTAGCAGATGGTTAGCTGATTACATGCGTTATCTCAAGTCTCAAAGACTCTAGCAGGCCTACTTTGGACCCATTCTTATTGTGTGAAAGATTACTTTCTTGCTGGAAGAGGAAGCCTTTGACCCATAGTGCTCCCACTGTGGTGATCACTGTCACTCCGATGATCTGCCACGGCTCCAGATGGGCGCAGCGCGAGTTCACCTGCTGCCGGCCCTCCTCCAAATACAGCAGCATCATCTCCTTATACACCTCCAAGGCACTCTGGACATAGAGACACACAATATGCATTACAAGAGAAGTGCAGAGCAACCATCAGCTTTTCTCTAACAACAATCTGGATTTACAGAAGGCTCAAACTATTCAGTCAACAGCACTCATGTTTCCTGTGATACAGATCTCTTACACGACTATGGTGATATGGGGAAGCTACCACTGAGTGCCATGTATTGAGAAAGTTAGTCACTGTTTGACAGCATAATGACTGCTTTCCTGCAAAATGAGATAACAGTTAAATTTCATCTCACTTAATCTGAATTTTATTTTATTTTTTTTAAACAAGACACATGACTTGTGACTGTGCAATAGGAGCAGATGTACAGGCGTCCAGTAAAACACTGCAGGTCAGGCCATAAACCATCAAAGACAGTGACTGACAACACATCCAATTACTTTAAGGGAAAGTAACTAATCTTTCAAGTGCGAGTACTTACTTTTGAAGACATTGCCAGACCTACAGATCCCACCCCCACACACTTTAAACGCACTCGGCACTTTTCCTGACTGTCAGGTGAAGAGACAGCCAGCACTCGGTACACCAGGTGAAAGTGAGAGAACACGTTCAGCGAACTGTAGATCTACAAGCAGACTCCTCCCACTAGTCACATAACACATCCAGCCCATTAAGGTAATCAGTCAGGATTAGACGAGACGGGAAAGACTGAGCTACAAATTTACGACGAGGTATAATTTACGTCTCTTTCAAAGCACGATCACAGGTGAATACTTTCCTGTCAGTTCAAATGCGCATGTAATGATTTAGCCCGAGGAGATCTAAGAGAGCCTTAATCACAGTGAAATGCCCGTCAATGGGATTGCATAAGCGCAGCAAATTTGTCTTTGCATTATCTGCCTCACAAAGTCTTTTTACAACATAACAGCAGGCAGTTTGATCGTGAGGACTTGCCACCTCAGCTGCAATAAGAAAGCTTAAGGTTCAACAGCAGTATCTTAACTAATCACAATCTGTTCTGCCACAGCAAAAATAACACAATGAGGCGAGTCCTCTTAGTGCGACGGAAAGGCCGTTGACTGTGTGAAAGAACAACCTAAGATGTTGCCCCCCCCCCCATTAAATCCTAGGTAAAGGGTTGTTAGTGAGCCATGGGAGTCCTACCCCCTGACCAGACAGCAGCTGCCATACCTGCCCGTTTTGGACAGCCTGTTCTCATACAGGTTTAGCAAGATCAGCTGCAAAGAGCTGACTGAAGCAACAGAAAATAAGCAACTAACATATGTTGAATGGGAAGCTTGACTTGAGTCATGACAGGCATGTAATTTAGCACACCGCCCACATTTGATTGCTGTCACACATCTGTCAACTAAACAAATAAATAAATACATGAATAAATAAATAAAGATTAGATCACTCCCTTTTTTGACTCTACTTCAGCCTCAGATCCCACACACACAGCTTCCCCTCAGGAAAACCTACACCAGGTTCACACAAAGCCTCTTGTACCAGTTTTGTGCTACTCCTTGTTGAACAGTGGACACCCATTCTTTTGCTCAAACCCACCCTATACAACATTTAACTATTCTTCTAATGAGACCTTTTGTTGTTTCAAATGGGAGGTCATGTTCTCGTGGAAATATACTGGGCGTGAGGTGGTTGCTCCTGGATACATGAAGGAAAAAACAGTCAGCTTGCTAAAACATCACCAAAGCTCAGAGAGATGAGGAGATCACTGAGGGGGGAGAATAATTACAGATGTGGTGTCTGGAAATTTTTTATTTAAACCTCTACAAAGCCTCCAGATTGCCACAGTATCAAACGTTATTTACGTCAACATCAAAAGTATGTTTTTTGTTTAGTTTTTTCCCCCCTTGAGATAATTCTTCTCTCTCCTGTGATGACCTGAAGGAGCTCAAGAGTGATTTCTGCCCGGACAGCAGATCTGTTTCAGACCAGCTGCCATCTCCTGCCATGTCTTTTGTCTGCCTCTGATTACTTCAATTAGAAAGAAAGAAGAAAAAAAAAGCACTGCTTGCACAACCTTAAACAACTCTCCCGTGGGACTACTAAGAGTAGTGCTTTGTTTAAACTTCCTGCAGGTTTATGTTGAACAGGATTTCTACTTTTAGACAGAGGCAGCCACAATAAACAATAGTGAATGAGCCGCAAAACACGCACACAAAGAGGAAGGATCTTATTTTTATTAGACTTTAAACCAATAAAAGTGCACCATGAACCTGTAGTTACATCTTGTATACCATCTTTTTATACCAGGGTCAAAAAGTATCGATGAAGATTAAATGTTTCCTGAAAAACAACCATATGTCTGTAACACGAAGCTCTCATAACAAGAGTGCCTGCCAGTGTCTGTGGACTCGGAGCATCCCTCGCAGGAAAACAACTCGGGCCATTAGCTCACTTCAGTACTGATAAACAAGTCTGCTTCTTCGGGCGTCCTGAAGCCGCACTGTCATTGTCCCGTCTGCTACACTGCCTGTAACGTGAGACGGAGAGAAAGTACAGAGACACCTACCCAGTAGTCCATGTTCTCGAGGCAAACTGTCACCGAAAGTTCCCTTTATTTAGCCTGCTTCTCGGGGAAGTCACCTCCAGCAGCCTTTGCTATGAGTCCTCCGCTCTCATCTACATGCTACTACCAAACACAGCAGCAAGCTAACCCTGATTGAGGAAGTCACAAATACACTCGCGTATAACTGCACGCGGTCTGCGCATGTGTAGATCTGATGACGCTGTGCCGCTGTGAAATCTACCAATCTACCAGGCACCGCGTGCTTTGTAGATCTTCTCTCCGAGTCGCAGGAACGTCGCACGTTTTCACACCCACAACTGGATGTGAAATGCTGCGTTCAGAGACGCCACGTAAAAGACAATTTGCCGTCATGTGAGTCCAGTAATGTCATGGAAACCATCGTATTTATTGAAATATTTACGCCTCGAGTCAGTGACCTTTACCCCAGAAATGTTTGACAAGCAGACAACAAAGTACCTTTTCGTAATAAATCTTAATTTATCCACATTTATTCAGATGTATGACTGTGCATTGCTCAGATCATTTCGGCATTTCAGTTTTGTTCAGCGGAGAACAATCAATTTTTTGGCAACCTAAAAAAAGGTATCTAAAAACATATATTACTAAGGGTCACATTCTCTGATTCTCAGATAATTATAAAGACAGATAATGGCTCTCATTCCTTGATAGACACGTTCTTGTTTACAACTGGATCATAATCGTTTACTTTTATTCTACTTAAAGTATACATATTTTAACA